AGCACTCCCAGGCTCAGCACCCCCACGGTGAGCACCCCCAGTCGCAGCACCCCCGGGCTCAGCACCCCCAGTCGCAGCACCTCCAGGCTCAGCGCCCCCAGTAGGAGCACCCGCAGGCTCAGCACCCCCAGGCGCAGCACCCACGCGCTCAGCACCCCCAGAGTCAGCACCCCCAGGCTTAGCACCCTCAGCAGCACCAAAGTCACCAGTAACCTCGACAGGCTCGACCGCGTCTACCTGGGACAAACCTGAAGGGGTAGGACCCTGAGGGGGGAGGGGGTCTACCGTGGGGGGACCTGGTACAAGGAAGAGCGGCGGCGGGGGGAGGGACAGAGTGCAGTAGGGGAAGAGGCGGTAGTAGGGGACCGACTCGTCAAACGTGACTTCCTGGGAGGACAGAACACGGCGAGAGGTGGGGTGGTAGAACTGCCACCCTGGCGCGTCAGGGGGGAAGCCAAAGAAGTTGCAAGGAGCAGCACGAGGGGACAGCTTGTCCGCAGACAAGTCGCGAACAAACGCCCGAGATCCCCAAACACGGAACGCAGACGCATCGACAAATGGGGGGCAGCCGCATGCATCATGGACGTACGAGCGACATCCATGACCATGCCAATGCGGCGCTCAGCAATCCCATTTTGCTGTGGGGAGTCCGGAAGCGTGAAGGTCTGGCGGATGCCTCGTGCACGACAGTAGGCTCGCTCAAGGCCAGAGGAGAACTCTCCGCCTCTGTCCGAGTGCAGACGCAGAACAGGAAAGTCCGAGCCGAAGCTCTGCCTGAGTTGGAGACGAGCTGCGCGGATCCAGTCGATCAACACCGCAGTGACATCACCCTTGCTGCGCAAGGGGAAGACTGTGGTGTAACGGGAGTAGCCGTCAACCACCAGCAGGAAGTAGTGCTCGTGACCCTGTCCACGGACGCGGGCCGGGCCCCACACGTCCATGTGAAGCGTCTGCAGCGGGGCCTCTGTCGGAGGAAACTGGGAGGAGTGAGGGGCAGTCTGATGCCGCCCCTCGACACAGGGGACGCAGGTAGGGCCAGGCCCAGGAGGAAGGGGAGGGAGGGACCGGGGAAGACCAGAGACAAGGACACGAGAGGCCATGCCTCGGAGACGAAGCAGGGAGGGGTGACCAAGGCGGTGGTGCCAGAGGAGAGTCTCGTGAGACAGGAGGCGACACGAGCAGGGGGCAGACTCAGGACCAGACCTGGACGCTGCAGTAAACACCTGACCCGACGCAGCTACCTGACCAGACGCAGTGACTGGAGGAGACGCAGTGGTCAATGTGTACAGGCTCGACCCCGGCCGACGTGTAAACGTGGCCAGGTGTCGGCCTGTCCGAGCGTCCGTGCAGTGGGTCACCCGCTGACGCGCAGGAGTGAACTGGTGCACCCCCGCATCTTGTAGGTCAGCACCACTCACCAAGTTTGTAGAGAACGAGGGGAGGTAAAGACCAGACAGGGTGCCAGAGGGGGCCGCCGGACACGGGAGGACAGTGGAGTAGTGAGCAAGGACAGGACCCCCAGAGGGGTCTGCCAGAGAGACTGCAACTGGCCGGCCAAGCGGCGTGAGTGTGGTGCGGTCTCGAAAGAAGGAGTGAGAAGCCCCTGAGTCCAGGGTGAAGGTGTGGGAGGCCGAAGCCGACGCAGTACCTGAGAGAGCAGACTCACCAGCACCTGAGGGAGCAGACGCACGAGCACCTAGAGCAGCACCCTCGCTAGCACCTAGAGCAGCAGCCTCACTTGTACCTAGAGCGGTAGTCTCAATGCCCGGGTCGGGCGGAAAACACCGGTAACAGTCACCCTCATCACTAATAGTCACAGCATACATGGCAGCAAGAATAGCATCAAGTCAAGGTCAAAGACAGCTACTCCCGCCCTAGACCGCTCACCCTAGCGGGGGATCTCCGTGGCCTCCGGGAACTGGTGACGCCAAGCGTCCGTCAGGCGGCCAAAGCAGCGCTGAGTGGAGTGCGCACCCCCGCACTGCTCACCCGCGCGGTCGCCGGTGCATAGGACGTAGGTGCACGGACCAGTACCCCCACCCCGCTGGCGTGCAGTGTATCACTCACGGAGCTGCTGAGGGGAGGGGATGTCACTAGTGCGCTGCTGCTGCTGATGCTGCTGGCGCTGACCACCACCGGAGCCGACCCTCTGCGCAGCGCCACCCCGACCAGCTCCACGTCCTCCGCCACCGCCTCCTCCACCGCCGCCTCCTCCGCCACCACCTCCGCTCCCACCGCCACCGCCGCCGCCGCCTCCGCCTCCACTGCCGCCACCGACACCTCCACCCCCGCCACCACCCCCACCACCACCCCCACTCCCTCTGCCGCCTCCACCGCCCCCGCTAGCTCCTCCAGCGCCCCTGCCCCCCTTGCCCTTGCCAGGGCGGCGTCTCCCGCTAGGGGTAGACGCCGCACCGACCGACTCAAGCCCAACGAGGTCGGCCGCAGCAGCAGAGGCAACAGAGGGCAAAAGGGGGGAGGGGGAACACCCCTCAAATCTGGGGGTGCGAGGGTCACCACGAGAGGCTCCTACAGCGACTATGCTCTTCTCCGCTGCTAGGAGGGCCTTCTCGAGGAGGTCAACGGTGAGGGTGGTGGGGCAAATTGAGAGGAAGTGGTCCCTGACTACGCGAAGGGAGTCAGGGAGGCGGGTGACTATGTAGTAGAGAGTGATGTACATGGGGGGGGGGGGGTTCTTGGCGCAGAACTCAGCAGGAAGCGCAGCGCGGTAGCGAGTGTCACTAGTGCGGAGGTGCGTAATGAGGTCAGCGACTGTGGGAAAGGCAGCAAGGTCAGGGAAGAGGTACGGTAGCATGAGGCGGCTCAGTGCAGCAGTGGCAGGGGAGGAGTAGCGTGCAACTACAACATCGTACAAGGTCTAAGCACTCTTGTACTGGCTAAAGTGCGCACGCTCAGAGGTAGGCAGGTGGCGACGCACAGCAAGACGTGCAGCAGCATCGCGTGTGGCCCACTGTGAGCGAACAGTGGCGTCAGCATCAGCAGCAGGGGCAGGAGAGGCACCAGAGGTGAGGTCAAAGAGGGAGAGACCGTCTGCCCTACAGCACTGTAGGAAATGCTGCAGGTCATCTACCCAGACATCAAAGTCAATGGCCCGACCCTCAGTGTCAAAATCGAGGACACTAGGGGTAGCCATGACAGCAGTAGACTAGTAGCGCGAACAGTGGGGTAAGGGCAGTGCAGTGACAGAGGCGCTGCTCTTACCGGACAGGGCGGCTCGGGCGGCTCGGGGGCTCGGCAGCTCGGCAGGAACTGCAGCTCGGCGGCTCGGCAGGAACTGCAGTTCGGTGGCTCGGCTACTCTACGGCTCGGGCGGCTCGGGCGGCTCGGGTGGCTCAGGTGGCTTAGGCGACTCGGGCGGCTCGGGCGGCTCGGCGGGACGGCGGCTCGGGCGGCTCGGGCGGCTCAGGCGGCTCGGCGGGACGGCGGCTCGGGCGGCTCAGGTGGCGCGGCGGCTCGGGTGGCGCTGGCGGCTCAGCAGTAGCTTGGCGAAGCCGCGTGAAGGCGGGGTCGGGGCCGGGAAGGGCATGCGACGGGGCCAGCAGGGGCTGGGCCGGGGCCGGGAAGGGGGCGGCGCCGGGGCCCTAGGGTAGGCGACGGGGCCAGCAGAGACTGGGCAGGGTCGGGAAGGGCGGCGTCGGGGCCGAGAAAGGGCGGCGCCTGAGCCGGGAAGGGCAGCGACGGGGCCGCAGGTAGGCGACGGGGCCGCAGGTAGGCGACAGGGCCGTAGGTAGGCGGCGGGGCCGCAGGTAGGCGACGGGGCCGCAGGTAGGCGACGGGGCCGCACGTAGGCGGCGGGGCCGCAGGTAGGCGACGGGGCCGCAGATAGGTGGCGGGGCCGCAGGTAGGCGGCGGGGCCGCATGTAGGCGACGGGGCCGCAGGGTCGGGGCCGGGTCGGGAAGGGCGGCGCGAGGGCCGCGGGGTAGGCGACGGGGCCGAAAGGGCGGCGAATCGGGGCCGGGAAGGGCGGCTCGAGGGCCGCGGGGTAGGCGACGGGGCCGCTAGGGCGGCGGATCGGGGCCGTCAAGGGCGGCGCGACACAGTGAGAAAGGGGGAGCGCGACTCGGGCAAGGGCTGAGCGCGCTCCGGGCAGGAAAAAAAATCGAATCGGTGGGCCCTAGGAACAGTTCCCACGAGGGAACCTGCTCGATACCATGAGAAAACTGAAATGAGAATGAATGCAGTATGAAAGAGTTGGGTACAAGTACTAACCCTAATTGGGTTGTACCCTATATGGGCTACCCCACTACAGCCTACACAAAAGCATAAGCTATAATGTTCTGACATCACCCGCCCTACCGCCCAACTCCATGCCATCCTACTCGCCCAAACCAACCCGCTTTTAACAGGCCTATTCATCCACGGATACCGCACCGACCCATTTTTCACAACCGGAAATTCACAGCAACTATCAGAAGCTAAAGGAGTTTATTACGTAAAAACAAGCACCAACCGCATCTGGGTACCCGCGTACTCACTACTAAGGGAACTGCTACTGCAGGAGGCACACGACGGAATTACCTTGGGACATTTTGGGGTAGAAAAAACGTGACAGCAACTGCAGCGGTATTACTAGTGGCTGGAGCTGTTGACCGACGTGCAGCAGCACGTGGGCTCGCGTCCCACGTGCCAGGTGATGAAGAGCTCGAGGATGAGAAAGTACGAACGAGAAGTGGATGACTATGAAATGAAGTGGGTACAAATAGGAAACCCCAATTGGGTTGTACCCCCTATGGGATACCCCACTATAGCCTACAGAAATGAGTAAGCTATATGTTCTGACACACCCCCATAGGCAAAGTGGGGGAGAACAAGGGGTCACAAGACCAGTCAAGCAAAGCAAAGCAAAGCTCAGGGTGGATCACAAAGTCACCACGCATTCCGAGCACAAGTTCAAAGGCCAGAAGGCCAGTTCACATGCAAGATCATATATAGAGATATACAAGAGCAAGAGTATATATAGGCGAAGGTACAAGCAAGGTCAAGAGCAGAGCAAGTGAGGCAAGACAGGCACAAGACCCAACTGCGTGCAACAACGCTGATGATCACAAGGCGCAAGTGCCTTGGTGAAGACATCAGCAGTGTTGGCCTCAGAGGCCACGTACACAAGTCGCAACTGTCCACGCTGCTGTAGCTCACGAGCAAGAAAGTAGCGGAGAGCAATGTGCTTCGTTCTGTGCTCCAGTCGCTGCTCTCGACACAAGGCCAGCATGGCCTTGTTGTCTACGTACAGGACTGGAGGAGAACGAGGCTGCTCTCCAAGGTCGGTCAGCAGGTAGGTGAGCCAGCGTAACTCCTGTGCAGCCATAGCCCCAGCGTAGATCTCAGCCTCACAACTGGAGCCGAGAACAGAAGACGAGCGGGTAGCCCGCCACGAGACAGAGCCGGAACCAAGGCTGAAGGAGTAACCCTGTGACGACCGCTGCGTAGCCTGGTCGTCAGCCCAAGAAGCGTCTGCGTGCCCAGTGAGGACCACTGGACTGCGCCCTCCAAGCACTAGCCCCATGCCCGACGTACTGCACAAGTAGCGCAACACCCTCTTCGCTGCAGCCATGTGCTCTGGTCGGTGTCTCCCAGGAGCAACAAAGCGTGCGAGAATGCTAAGAGGGTATGCGAGGTCAGGTCGTGTGCAGGTCATCAGGTACATGAGGCAGCCAACAAGCTCTGCAAACGGGCCACTCGACTCTACGGACTCATCCGAAGGCAGAGCTGAGAGTGAGTGGCGAGTAGGCAGAGGAGTGGCCTGAGGCGAGGAGTACGTGAAGCCGAAGCGCTGAAGGACCTGCTGCACCATGTGTGACTGAGTCAGGGTAATGGTGCGGCGTGCTCTATCCCGGGTGATCTGCAGGCCAAGGTAGCTGCGCAGTTCACCCAGGTCAGTGCACGTGTGTCTCTTCTGCAGCTCAGACTTCACGTAGGCGAGTCCAGCAGTGTCAGCTGTGGCAAAGACCAAGTCGTCGACGTACACGAGGATGTAGAACGGCGGCAGAGAGGTGTCGGTGCGCAGAAACAGCGACGGGTCGGCAGTAGAAGGAGCAAACCCAAGTGCCGCGAGCGTAGTCCTCAGTGTGTCGTGCCACTCACGTGGCGCCTGGCGGAGACCGTAGACTGGACGCCGGAGACTCCACTGGGTACCAGGAGGGAAAGACCCAGTGAAGCCAGGTGGGCGGCGCAGCCAGATCTCCTCGTGCAGGCTGCCCTGCAAGAAAGCTGTGCTGAAGTCGAGAGAGTGCAGCTCGTAGTCACGGTGAGCAGCAACGTGCAGCAGAACCCGAAGAGTGGTCATCTTCGGGGTGGGGGAGAAGGTCTGGAAGTAGTCAACCCCCTGCCGCTGACTGAAGCCACGAGCCACGTAGCGCGCCTTGAAGACAGGCGGAGAACCCGGCGGCCGCTTCACCCTGAAAATCCACATGCCACTGACGATGTTCGCCCCAGGAGGGGGAACAGCGTCAACGTAGGTGCCTGTGGACTTCCAGGAAGCCATCTCTGCATCCATAGCTGCCTGCCACTGAGAGGAGTAGGGACCCTCTATCGCCTCCGCGTAAGAGCGCGGAGTCGGGATGTCTGGTGCATCCGGGTCTCCCTCAGGGGCTAGCAGTACAGACGCGAGACGAGGTGAAGCGGCGGCGAGACACTGGAACTCCTCCTGCCTGTCCTGAAGGACGTCCGTGCCAAGGGCACACTCACCCCCGACGGACGGAGGACAGGCGGACTCAGACTCAGTGACAAGACGAGCAGCGTAGTCGAGACGACAGCGCGCAGCAAAGTCGACAAGCTCAGTGACAAGGGCAGACGCAGCAGACGACTCGAAGGAAGGGTCAGTGACAGCAGTAGCAAGGAGACGCGTGACAGTAGGACTGGCAGCACGAAGAGAGTCCGACTCCGGGTCGGCAAGAGCAGGAAGAGAGGAAGCAGGAGGAGAAGGCAAAGGGGCACGCAGAGGAGCAGTGGACGGACGCAGCGACATCCGGTGCGTGCCAGGGACAGGAGGAGGACGTTGACGCGAACCGCGACCACTAGCGCGCGCAGGACGAACAGGCGACGCAGGACGAGACGCAGGCTCACGACGCTCAGTAAGACCTCCAGTCGGACCAGCGTAGGGAGAAGGAGCAGGCAAAGGGGAGGCAGGCTGTAGCTGTGGCTGTGACTGGACAGGCTGCGGAGCCTCTACAGGAGGAGGAGAAGGTGTAAGACCAAGAACCTGCTGAAGGAGCGGAACGAAGTACGGTCGGGGCCGCGCGGCGACGCTAGAAAAAGCTGGAACAGCGCCAGCAGCCCCGGCCGGAGAACCCACTCCAGCAGCACCTCCAGCAGCACCACCAGAGGCCCCAGAAGCAGCACCAGGAGCACCCGCAGGCGGACCGCCAGCGGCAGGCTCAGCGACAACACCCTCAGCAGTACCAGCTCCAGGAGAACTCTCAGACCCAGCAGCTCCAACACCCAAAGGACGAGCACCGTCGGGACGTGCGACAGCAGTACCCTCTGCAGCCGAAGAACCACCAGCACCAGCAGCACGCCTCCAGCGCCTGGCAAACCACTCACGCAGCTCCGGTGGGGAGAGTGGCTCCCGGCGAGACGAAGCACCCCCAGGCTCAGCACCCCCAGGCACAGTACCCCCAGGCTCAGCACCCCCAGGCTCAGCACCCCCAGGCACAGCACCCCCAGGCTCAGCACCCCCAGGCTCAGCACCCCCAGGCTCAGCACCCCCAGGCTCAGCACCCCCAGGCTCAGCACCCCCAGGCTCAGCACCCCCAGACTCCGCACCCCCAGGCTCAGCTCCAGCAGCAGCACCAGAGTCCCCAGTGACCTCGACAGGCTCGACCGCGTCTACCTGGGACACACCTGAAGGGGCAGGACCCTGAGGGGGGAGGGGGACTACCGGGGGGGGACCTGGTACCAAGAAGAGCGGGGGTGGGGGGAGGGACAGAGTGCGGTAGGGGAAGAGGCGGTAGTAGGGTACCGACTCGTCGAACGTGACGTCCTGGGAGGACAGAACACGTCGAGAGGTGGGGTGGTAGAACTGCCACCCAGGGGCGTCGGGGGGGAACCCCAGGAAGACGCAGGGAGCAGCGCGAGGGGACAGCTTGTCCGCAGACAAGTCGCGGACAAACGCCCGAGATCCCCAGACCCGGAACGCCGACGCATCGCCAACCTTCCCCGTCCACATCAAGACTGGGGACATCGCGGGTCGAGAGACCCGGGGGTGAAGGTTGATCTGATGCGCGGCGTACCTGACCGCAAACGGCCACAGAAAATGGGGGGCAGCCGCATGCATCATGGACGTACGAGCGACGTCCATGACCATGCCAATGCGGCGCTCAGCAATCCCATTCTGCTGTGGTGAGTCCGGAAGCGTGAAGGTCTGACGAATGCCTCGCGCACGACAGTAGGCACTCAGGAGGCCAGAGGAGAACTCTCCGCCTCTGTCCGAGTGCAGACGCAAAACAGGAAAGTCAGAGCCAAAGCTCCTCCGAAGCTGGAGACGAGCTGCGCGGATCCAGTCGATCAACACCTCAGTGACCTCACCCTTGCTGCGCAAGGGGAGGACTGTGGTGTAACGCGAGTAGTCGTCAACCACCAGCAGGAAGTAGCGCTCCTGACCCTGTCCACGGACGCGGGCTGGGCCCCACACGTCCATGTGAAGCGTCTGCAACGGGGCCTCTGTCGGAGGAAACTGGGAGGAGTGAGGGGCAGCACGCTGGCGCCCCTCGACATAGGGGACACAGGCAGGGCCAGGGCCCGGAGGAAAGGGAGGGAGGGAACGGGGAAGACCAGACACAAGGACTCACGAGGCCATGCCTCTGAGCCGCAGCAGAGAGGGGTGGCCAAGGCGGTGGTGCCAGAGGAGGGTCTCGTGAGACAGACGACGACACGAGCAGGGGGCAGACTCAGGACCGGACCTGGACGCTGCAGCAAACACCTGACCAGACGAAGGGACCCTACCAGACGTAGTACCTGGAGGAGAAGCAGTGGTCAGTATGTACAGGCTCGACCCTGGCCGACGTGTGAACGTAGCCAGGTGGCGACCTGTATCCGCCTCAGTGCAGTGAGTCACCCGCTGACGAGCAGGGGTGAACTGGTGGACACCCGCATCCTGGAGGTCAGCACCACTCACCAAGTTCGTCGAGAACCAGGGGAGGTAGAGACCAGTCAGGGTGCCAGAGGGGGCCGCCGGACACGGGAGGACAGTGGAGAAGCGAGACAGGACAGGCCCCCCAGAGGGGTCAGCCAGGGACACCGCAACCGGCCGACTCAGCGGCGTGAGAGTGGTGCGGTCCCTAAAGAAGGAGCGAGACGCTCCAGAGTCAAGGGTGAAGGTGTGAGAGGCCGAAGCCGACACAGTACCTGAGAGGGCAGACTCACCAGCACCTGAGAGCACAGACGCACTGGCACCTAGAGCAGCAGCCTCACTAGTACCTGACGCGGCAGTACCAATGCCCGGGTCGGGCGGGAAACACCGGTAACAGTCATCCTCATCACTACCAGTCACAGCATACATAGCAGAGAGAATAGCATCAAAGTCAAGATCATAAATGGCTACACCAGCCCTAGACAGCTCTCCCCAGCGGGGGATCTCAGCGGCCTCCGGAAACTGCTGACGCCAGGCGTCAGTCAGGCGGCCAAAGCAGCGGCGGGCTGTGTGGGTGCCTCCACACCTCTCCCCCGCACGGTCGCCGGTGCGAAGAACGTAGGGGCAGGGACCAAACGCACCACCACGCTGACGCTGCAAGTACCACTCACGGAGCTGCTGAGGGGCGGGGACGGTGCGAGACCGCTGTTGCTGCTGCTGCTGCTGCTGGCGCTGACCACCCCCAGAGCTGCTCCGCTGGGACGAGCCACTCCGACCCCCGCCGCCTCCGCCACTCCCGCCTCCACCGCCACTCCCGCCTCCACCGCCACTCCCGCCTCCACCGCCACCCCCGTCTCCACCGCCACCGCCCCCACCGGTACCCTCGCCCCCGCCTCCTCCGCTGCCGCCTCCGCCGCCACCTCCGCCTCCACCTCCTCCACCGGTACCCCCACTCCCGCCACCACCTCCACCGCCACCCCCACTCCCCCCGCCACCCCCACCTCCTCCGCCACTGCCTCCTCTAGATCCACCCGCTCCCTTGCCCCCCTTGCTCTTGCCAGAGCGGCGTCTGCCGCTGGGGGCAGACGCCGCACCGACCGACTCAAAACCAGCGAGGTCGGCCGTAGCAGCAGAGGCGACAGAGGGCAGCAGGGGGGAAGGAGAACACCCCTCAAAGATGGGGGTGCGAGGGTCACCCCTAGAGGCCCCTACAGCGACTATACTCTTCTCAGCCGCTAGCAGGGACTCCTCAAGGAGGTCGACAGTGAGGGTGGTGGGACAGACAGAGAGAAACTGGTCCCTAACGACACGAAGGGACTCAGGAAGACGGGTGACGAGAAAGTAGAGAGTGATATACATGGGAGGAGGGTTTGCGGCGCGGAACTCAGCAGGAAGGGCAGCGCGGTAGCGAGCGTCACTAGCGCGGAGGTGGGTAACGAGGTCAGCGACAGTGGGAAAGGAAGCGAGGTCAGGGAAGAGAAACGGTAGCATGAGGCGGCTAAGGGTAGCGGAGGAAGGGGAGGAGTAGCGTGCAACTACAGCGTCGTACAAGGCCTGAGCGGTCTTGCACTGACTAAAGTGGGCACGCTCAGAGGAAGGGAGGTGGCGACGCACAGCAAGACGTGCAGCAGCATCGCGGGTCGCCCACTTGGAGCGAACGGCAGAGTCAGCATCAGCAGGCGGGGCAAGGACAGCTCCAGAGACAAAGTCAAAGAGAGAGACCTCATCTATCGCATCACACAGTAAGTACAGCTGCAGGTCTTCAATCCAGACGGCAAAGTCAATGGCCCTCCCCTCAGCGTCAAAAGTAAGAACATTGGGGGTGGCCATGGCAACAGCTGAAAGTCTCACCGGGCTGGAAGAGTCGGGTAGGTCAGCAGCAGAGGAACACAGCTCAGGGACAGCAGCACGGCTCCTCAGGTGGCTCGCGTGGCTCAGGCGGCTCGGGCGGCTCGGGCGGCTCGGGCGGCTCGGGCGGCTCGGGCGGCTCGGGCGGCTCGCGCGGCCCGGGTGGCGTAGGGGCTCATGGGCGGCGCGGGCTGCTGGGGCTGCTCACGTGCAGCACGGCGGGCTGCAGCAGGGCCGGTGGTGGGCTGTAGCAGGGCCGGTGGCGGGCTGTAGCAGGGCCGGCGGCGGGCTGTAGCAGGGCCGGCGGCGGGCTGTAGCAGGGGCCGGTGGCGGCTGTAGCAGGGCCGGTGGCGGGCTGTAGCAGGGCCGGTGGCGGGCTGTAGCAGGGCCGGCGGCGGCTGTAGCAGGGCCGGTGGCGGGCTGTAGCAGGGCCGGCGGCGGGCTGTAGTAGGGGCCGGTGGCGGCTGTAGCAGGGCCGGTGGCGGGCTGTAGCAGGGGCCGGTGCGGGCTGTAGTGGGGCCGACGAGGGGCCGAAGTGGGGCCTAGGCGGGCCGGCGGGCTGTAGGCGGGGCCGACGCGGCGGGCTGTAGCAGGGGCCGGTGGCGGGCCTAAGCGGGGCCAGCGCGGGGCCGACAGGGCGTAGGTGGGGCCGACGCGGGGTCGAAGAGGGGCCTAAGCGGGGCCGACGGAGCCTACGCGGGGCCGACACGGGGCCGAGACGGGGCCTGGGCGGGGCCTACGCGGGGCCGACGAGGGGTACGCGGGGTCGACGAGGGGTACGCGGGGCCGACGAGGGGTACGCGGGGCCTACGCGGGGCCGACGAGGGGTACGCGGGGCCTACGCGGGGCCTACGTGGGGCCAGGGTTTACAGAGGAAGCTAGGAAGCGGAAGGCGGGTCAATTGCAGCCAATACCACCGCCCGAGCGCGCCTGGCAGCAGGTTACCATGGACTTCATCACAGGGTTACGTTCGAACCCTGGGGGTAACGACGCGGTGATGGTCGTCGTTGACAGGTTGACGAAGATGGCACACTTCGCTGCGTGCAAAAAGTCGATCTCAGCCGAGGAGACCGCTCGCCTGTTCATCGCAGCCGTTGTTCGCCTGCATGGGATACCCGCAGCGATTATCAGCGACAGGGACACAAAGTTCACCAGCAATTGCTGGAAGAACCTCTGGGAGCAGTTCGGGACACGGCTACAGTTCAGCTCGTCGTACCACCCCGAGACCGACGGTCAAACGGAGCGGACGAATCAGACGATGGAGCAGTTGATTCGTGCCACGTGCGACGACCCCACGACTTGGGAGCAGCAGCTGCCGCTGATCGAGTTCGCGTACAACAACGCCACGTCAGCGACGACGCAGCAGTCCCCCTTCTACCTGAACTGCGAGCAAAACCCTACAGTGCCCATGACGCCGAGTCCGGACAACCCAACATCACATGCACAGCAATTCGCCGAAATTCTGCAAGCTGCCCGCACCAGAGCCGCAGAAGCAATTAAAAAGGCAAACATCATCGCTAAGCGCAATGCTGACCGCCACCACCGCCCAGTCACATACTAGTCAGGGGATTACGTACTGCTCGACACGCAGAATCTGTGACTGCCCGACGTACCGAAACTTCGACCGCGCTACTGTGGCCTATTTCAAATCAGCCACATGATCACGCCAGTAACCGTGTACCTACTGTTAACGACCGACTGGTACATCAGCCCATCATTCCACGTCAGCCTACTTCGCCCATACCTCCCTACCACCAGCCAATTGCCTCGTCACCGCCCGCACTCCATGACTCGTCCTGCATCAGAGCCGATCATCGAGCCCGAAAAAATTCGGAGCCATCGGATTCGCCACCCCATGGGAATCAGGAGGATTGAATTCCTCGTTCGCTGGAAGGACCGCACGCCATCTGAAGATAGCTGGGTGCCCCTGGCCAACATCGAAAAACACCCTGCCCTGCAAGTGTACCTGAGGAGCCGGGGATTCCGCGATATACACGCACTCGCGTAGCGGAGGGGGCTTCTTGAGGGGGGGGGTAGTGTAAGGAAATTTCTCGGCATTCCTTACGGAGCCCGACTACATGGCGTACAGCAACAGCCGTTGTTTGCCCGTTACTGCTAACGGGGCTTCGCCAACTTCGCGCGCACTGTTTTGCCAAACCTCGCACTGCTGGCCCGGCCGTGTCGGCCTACGCTTCGGGACTAGCCCGAGCATCGCTGCCAGCATAGCACTAGCTAGCTCGCACGCACCGCGTTACCGTTTGCATGTTTCGCGCATAAATGTTCGCTCATGCCTTCGCTCACATTTGGTACTCGTTTGACACTTTAGTGCAATCCTCGCTACCTAGATCCATTGCACCCGTAACACACATGCAAACATGACTAGATTTGCTCAATATAGCCGCGGCTTTGTGGTAGAGCGTATGACCATTCCCGTAACGCGGATGTTTTAGGGCTCTTCCCAAATGCTCACAGAATTGTCTGTCTCCCCCTATCATTGTTGCTTCTCCTTGACTCCTCGCACATTGTTGTTCAGGTTCAAGCATTCCTTGCATTGTCCACGAACAAGGACTGAAGGTCAGGACATTCAATTTGAGATAAACAGCAAGGCGGTGTGAACAGTAAACAGCGCCGTGAAAGGAAAACAACGGAAGGATTTCGTCCTACTCGCGCTGAGCAGAATGCAGAAAGGGGACATTCGTCGATGGTTCGCAAAAAAACCTTCAACTCAAGTATCTGATGCTGAGAAAAAGAAGGTAAGCTTTCATTTTGTCAGTTAAGCCGTACCAAGAGATTATTCATACTTAGCTAATCGTCTTCCGACTTGCTGTTTAGGAGACGGATGTCGTACCTGCAGCTTCGGCCTCTCCGTTAAAGTCCCCGTCAAGCTCTATCCTGCGTAAAGGTTCTCATGCTCCGACTCCTACTAAAACGAGCGAACCTCCTAAGAAGCCAGAACGAGCGAGCCCATTACAAAAGGCATCAGCTGCTAAGGATGAGCCAAAACAAGGAGTTAAGGCAGTCAAAACCTCCTCAACGCCTTCTAAGAAGCCAAGAAAAAGGGCTATGGTCGTAGATGATGACGACGATGATGAGGAGGAGGACAATGAAGTTGATGAGGATTTCGTTGTTGGTAAGAATTCAGGCAATCATGATGCTGATGAGGAGGATGAGGACGAAGCAGGCGAGGAGGAAGAAGAAGAAGAGGAAAAACCAGCTGAAAAGAGGAAGCGGGGTAAGGTCGCACCTACCACGAAGAAGGCTACGCCGTCGAAGGTTCAGCCTGCACCTGCTGCAGAGGCAAAGGATTCTGGTGGTCGAGGAAGGGGAGGAGGTGGTGGGGGTCGAGGCGGTGGTGAGGCTGGAGGGGGTCGTGGTGGGGGTGGAGGCCGAGGAAGAGGCTGGGGAGGCAGAGGTGGCTTTTTGGGGGAAAGAGCTGCTCCCCCACACAAAGGAGAGAAGGTATGATGCATTTAACGAGCCAGAGCTCGTCTTCTTCTTACTAGATAGGTGCTGACTTGTTGCTGCACGTGCAGGAAGTACCAGAAGGTCCTGAAAATGCCTTGACGGGGATCACTTTCGTTATCAGTGGCACTCTTCACAGGTCAGTTGCCTTTCTGACTGTTGCATTCGGCCATGAGTATTTCCTCACAGTTGTCTCATTGTAACAATGCATGGCATGCAGCTTGGAGAGAGAGGAGGCTGAGGACTTGATCAAGAGGCATGGTGGTCGGATCACTAGCGCTGTCAGTGGAAAAACGGTGGGTGTGCTTTTCGTGATTGCCATTTTGGAACCTCAAGACTTGCTGGAAGAGTTTGAGTCACACAGTTGTTTCAGCAGACTCCTCTTTGCTGCAATGCCGCCAATGTTATGCTGCCAACTTATAGCGCTGGAATCAATGCGGCATCAAGCTCCCTCAGGGAAAATGCTGTTGAGACTGCAGTGAAATGTTGGGGAGTGCGTGCCTGCTCTAGTCACCAACCCGTGGTGGTAAAGCCATGGACCATGTCGTCAGTATCCAAGTACTGGAATGGCTATGGACAGGTCAGGTGTTACTGTTGTAATGTGGAGTAAATTTGACACAATCTGTGAGTCATTAGAAGGAATGCAAGAATCCTGAAATTCTGCAGACTGATTCCTTTTATGTTCTTTGTGTTTGGATTTCAGACCTACCTCCTTGCGGATGAAGACATTGGAGGCAGAAAGTCTACTAAGGCAAAAGAGCTCGGGTAACGCAGTCCACCACAAAGTTTCGCAGCCCATCCCTGTCTTCCATCCCATCTGCTTTGTGCTTCTCGTGAGGCCGATTGCACTGCTTCTCATGGTGCTGGTGCTGCTGCAGGGTGAAGTTCCTTACAGAGGATGGCCTCTTCGACCTCATCCATGCTGCAGCAAAGAAGCAGCCACCTGCACCAGCGAAATCACCCCCGGCTAAACAGCCTCTGGGTGCAGGTGCTGTTATTCCCTTAATCATAGGTCGGCTTCTGTACGGGTTCTCAGTCTAAACAGGAAAGTATAAACACGTATGTTGCTTCACTGGTTTCTGCAGATAAGGGTCGCCCTGCTGACGATATCAAGCCTGATGCTGACCGACTCCCTAAGAAGCTCAAGACAGATGCATCAGCTGATGCAACAACCCCAGCGAGCAAGGCGGACGCTGGTGCAGCGAGGCCTGCAGCTGCAGCGAGATCCGGGCCAGTGGAGGTGGAGTCATGGCCACAGAAGTACGCTCCCAAGAGCACAGCAGACATCATTGCAAACCAAGGCCTGGTGCGTCATGCTGCTACAAACTCTGCTGTAGCCTCTCAGGAGGATTCATTCCCTGCTGCTGCTGCCTGCTGCTGCTGCTGCCTTACAACCCTGACTGGGATTCTTCCTTTCCTGCCACACCATGCCACCCCCTGCTTGCAGGTGAAGCAGCTGCATGACTGGCTGGCAGGCTGGGAGGCGAGGCATCTGGGGCAAGGAGGGGCCAAGAAGGGCAAGAAGGGCGGGAAGGGTGGAGCAGGTGGAGGAGGAGGGGCGGCAGGAGGGGACATGAACAAGAAGGCAGTGCTGCTCAGTGGAGGGCCGGGCATTGGCAAGACGACTACAGCTCGCCTTGTCTGTGCCGCTCTTGGCTTCTCGCCTCTCGAGGTATGGCCTGTAACCTGCTGAAGTTGCAGTGCTGTACCTTAGCAGTGATCAATCCAAATTAGTGTGATGCAGCATATGTCGGACAGTGGCTTCACAGTGGCTTGCTGGTTTGCTGTGCAATGGCTGATTTAGTCGCTTGTTGTGCACCTTGTGGTGTGTTATGGCATCAGGGTTGCTCCACCACCCTCCCCTCTCCCACCAGGTGAACGCGAGTGACTCTCGAGGGAAGTCGGACGCCAAGATCCGCAACGGCATGGGTGGTGCCACGTCCAACACCATCAAGGAGATGATTTCCAACACCACTCTCCGCTTCTCCCCCGCCTCCAGCACCACCAAGTATCATTCCTCAGCCCCTTCAAAGAATCCCCTTACCTGCTCGTTCATGTATTTTTCCATTCAGCACATGCGCCTGTCTGCGTACAAACGCGAAGTCTCATTACTACGACAACCAGACATGGTTTTGTTGGACTAAGCGCTGTGGCATATGGGTTGTTGCAGGGGCAAGCAGCAACAGCAGCAGCAGGTGGATAAAGCCGCTCTGATCATGGACGAGGTGGACGGCATGTCGGGGGGCGACAGGGGTGGCGTGGCGGACCTGATAGCGAGCATCAAGGAGAGCCGTGTGCCCATCATCTGCATCTGCAACGACCGCTACAGCCAGAAGCTCAAGAGCCTCATCAACCACTGCCTGCTCCTCAACTACAGGAAGCCCACCAGACAGCAGGTCAGCGCCTCAGCCTGCACAGCCTGGACGAAGCTAATGTTTGCGCAGTGCAAGTCCTCGATTGTGCAATTTCGTGTGGCGTCTAACTCACCGTGGTACTTCCGCTGCAGATGGCCAAGAGATTGCGGCAGGTGGCAAATGCTGAGAAGATCCAGATCGCTGATGTGAGTGCTCCAAGCTTGACCAAGTCAACACAGCCCTTGTTGGAACATCAACCCACTTTACGAGCACCAGCGTCTCTCTTTAACAATCCATTTATTTCTTGTTAGCGCATGTGCATGCAACAGCATCCAAAGGTATCTCGAATTACTCAGCTGACATCTTTCTCTGCCTGCAGAATGCCCTGGAGGAGCTAGCGGAGCGCACGGGCGGGGACATGCGGCTGGCGCTGAACCAGCTGCAGTACATGGCGCTGAGCTGCCGGCAGCTGTCGTACCAGGAGGTGAAGCAGCGCATGCAGGCCAACGCCAAGGACGAGGACATCCGCCCCATGGCCGCTGCTGACACGTGCGTGCAGTGGGGCTGGTGGGAAAAGGGAGAGGGGGGGAAGGGAGGGGGGTGAGGTGAAGAAGTAGACATCTTGTAAGGCGACTAAGGCGGATGACTGTACTGGGGAGTTTTTAACTCGAGCCGTTCCTTTCAGTGCATTGTTATGATGGGGCGTGCGATTTCTAAAGCCACTGCACGATGCTGTTGTTCCATTGCTCCTATCCCATGCATTGACTACCCCTTCTCACCCTTTCCTGTGTGCGGCAGACTGATGGGGTATGGAGCGCGTGGCAAGAGGTTGGACATTCTCGTGGATGCAGCCATGTCAGACATCGACCTCATGCCGCTCTTCATCCAGGTGCCACCGCCTCCCACTCTCGCCATCACACCATCAGTCTGAGCCTCTGAGCTCGCCCCACCATGTGACATTTAAACTACTCCTTGACTGCACCGCACTCAGGCCTCAATTGTGATTCATGCGGCCAGGCCTGCACCATCCCAGCCTCTCCAGTTTGTATTGGTTGCTTATTCAAAGGGATGTGTTGACCTAACACCTACCTGACGCACCCTGCCTACGATGTCATTCTTTGCAGGAGAATTACCTGAACCACGTGCCTGGCAACGACCCGTCATCTCCTCACCTACTCGCTCGCCTCTCCCAAGCGGCCGATGCCATTTCCAGTGGGGACCTGGTGAACGTGCAAGTGCGCAGATACCAGCAGTGGCAGCACCTGCAGTTCGCTGCTGTCATGTCCTGCATCACTCCGTGAGCTCCCTTCTTCCGAGCTGGCATTATTCACACCTCATTCCGCCCTTGCCTCATACTCTGCATTTCTCTGCTGTTTCCATTTAGCCTCCAAATTCAACCGTTTGTGTGGTGTGATCTGAGCAGGGGCTTGATGGTCTCTGGACGAAGGGTCACTCTTCTAGAGGTCAGCCAACTATGTCCCATCATGTTTCCCTTTGGAATTGCGCCAGGAACCTTCTCATGCAACCTTGCCTACAATGTTGACCTCACTACCTGCTGAGCATTCTCTGAACAGGGCGAGCGGAACTTCAATCGCTTCCCAGGCTGGCTGGGGAAGAACTCGTCCGTGGGCAAGAACTACCGCTTGCTGGATGACCTGCACCAGCACCTCCTCTCCTCGCATCTGCTCCCCAACCCATCAAGGTATTCTTGCGTCCCTCCCCACCTTACCCCTTTCCCCCACCCCACCCTCCCCCCCCCTTCCCCCCCTCTTCCCCCCCCACCCACCATACCATCTGGACATCCTTTCCTGCCCCTTCCTCCATGTCCTAACTTATTCCGCGTTTGCTGTCCTAGATGGTTGTTATCTGACCTGTGCCTTCTCTTTCCCTGTGATGCAGGCAAGTTGTTCGCCTCGACTACTTGGAGCCCCTTGTCTCCTCCCTCACACGGCCTCTGCACAAACACGCACAGGTGTGCTTCTCGTTTTGACCCTCAACTGCAGATCATCCCTCAGCCTCCTTCCCGCAACCCCACCATTCACCCCTCCCACCCCCCAACCCTTTCCCTTTCCTTGCTGTCATTACACTATGTGTGCTGCAGGATGGAGTGGAGACTGTGGTAGAGGAGATGCTGGAGTATGGCCTCACACTGGACGACCTTGACACGGCTGTGGAGCTCTCACACTTCAAGGCAAGTGGTTTTATTCCCCGCTTTATCGTATCTTACCCTGTATTAATCCGCTTTCCCCGTCACCCGGCCCTTGTCCTGATTCGTTTGCCGCATGTCTCTCCACCTATTTGTGGAGATTCAGTTAGTGTTCTACTTCTTCGTGCTACCAGGGTCATTCTGGTCCAATGGAGGGAGTGCCAGCGCCAGTGAAGGCTCGGCTGACACGGGAGTACAAGAAGGAGCAGCAGGCACACAAGGCCAAGTCTGCTGCCACTCTGCCGCCTCTGCAGCTGCCAGGGGGGCGTGGGAAAGCAGGTGGTCGAAGCAAGACGGCTAAGCTGCCGGGTGGAGGAGGTGTGGATGAGCCTTCACTTTTGCAAGCAGACACTGATCTTCCTGTGGCTGTTGATGAAGGTGAGCTGCCCCGAACAGCTATTTTTCTGTTCGCTGGTTGCATGGTCGGTCGTTAAGGACAGGAGTCCTTGCCATACAGGCTACATAAGTGTTCTGATCGAAACGTCTGTACTGGTATTGATATCGCCCCATTCACGTTTGACAGTTGGAACACTGCAAGACGACGATGACGATGCAGCCGAGGATGCAAGCAGTGAGCATGATGAAGACGATGAAGGTACTTGCAACTGTGCAATCAGGTCATGTGAACTATTTGTTAACTCCACGTTTCAGCTCAATTAATCATCGGTATGGTGTGTGTGTTTTGCAGCAGTCCGTTTGCGACTTGTAGGAAAATCTGCAGGCAACTCAAGCAAGGGGACCACGAAGGGCGGAAGAGGCCGAGGAAGCGGGGGAAGGGCGAGAAAGGGTGCTTCTTAGGGGAAGATGGTCGTAGCATTTTTCTATATACGTGGCTGTAGGAGTATCAAGATTAGTCATGTCTAGGAAGTTATGTTGCCATGAAAATGTTTTATACAATATCGTTTACTTCATAACAACCACACCTGTCTTTGAGGCACTTTCAAACGCTTCCTTCAGAAAGCGGGGATGTGTCCACTGGTCATGGCAAAACGCCTATCCGCATCCGTCCTGTCCAACCCAACTGATCCAAGTGCGTGCTGTCACCACATTTGGTTGGCGTTGGTGTGTCATCCACGCCGCTTTCAAGATCTTCCTGCTCCACACAACCATCTCCTAGAACCTCCTAAACAAGCCAGTTATTGGCTTGCAATAGAATTCGGCCTATTTTCCTTGTTATTCCCGGCAGGTTTATGAGGTTCGTAGATTTTTCGCGTTTGGCCTCAGTTGTTGTCCCGTTCGCTGCTCCGCATACAGCCCTGATGGAAAATATTTTTGTCTATTTCTGTCACATTTGTGCCTTTCCAGCTCCAAGGAGAAGCCCACTCTCGGGTAAGCGTGATTCTGTCTTGTTTCTTCTCATTCTCTTTGCAGCAGTTTGAGCTAATTCGGTGATTTCGCTTTCCAGTGGCACGCGGATCAAGACCCGCAAAAGGAATATTGCGGTTCCTTTAGATCCGACCAGCTTTGCAGATGCGATCGTCCAAATCTACAAGGATCATCAGGGGGATTTGGTGAGCTGCAGAGCTGTGTCGGCTCAGCCGCCATTCTGATCGGTAGCAAGGGTTTCGGAGCTGACAGTCTTTGCTTATGTGTTGCAGGAGCTTATAGCGAAGGATATTGACTCTTCTGAACTCGATTTTTCTCGATATGGGGAGACATTCTTCGAGGTATTACCTCTTAAACCCCTGCATCCTGTGTACGGACCGCGAACGTTGCCTGGGCCGCACTCTTAGTATTTTTTTTTTTTTGTACTTTCCGCAGGTGGTCCTTAGCGGCGGTCGTATGCAGCCAGGCACAACCAAGCCAGAGGAGGGGGCAGAACGGCAGCCGTGGAATGTGCTCAGTTCTCCACCCACAAAGGAGGGGGTTCTTAAACATGTCCTTTTCATCCAGAAGATTCTGCGACGCCGTCCGTTCATGATCAAATCCTTGGAGAATGTGCTGCGCCGCTGGGTGCAGTCTCTGGTGCGAGCCTCGTCGCTAGGTGGTGCTTGTTTAGTTTGGTGATGTGGAGTCTCATTGTCTTGCTGCTGTTGGGTGCAGGAAATGTATGAGCCTGAGGAGAGGAAGCGCCTTGCTGTCTTGACAGCCCTCTGCTTCTCACAGCGGTTCACTGGTCTGGCACCTGACGTCATTTTCATCGCCCTCCTCAATGACACGCTCGTTACTAAAGGCACCTCGCTGGGCTTCATTACGGACTTTTTCCGTGTCTATCTGGTGGAGACCAACATGGATGACCTTGTGGGTCTGCTCAAGAAAGGAAAGGTCGATCAGCGTCTAATTGAGTTCATGCCCTCTCAGAAGCGGACTCCTGACGCATTTTCGCAACACTTCAGGTATGACTACTCAGCTTGAGGTTAAGAGGAAGAGGCGCCAAATCTACTGAAACCACATGCAAACTAGCTGATATTCTTGAGTGGAGGAACTTGATTGCTGGTTAAATCAAACCCTTCTTTTTCTACTGCTGCTGCAGCAATGAGGGCCTGAAGGCATTGGCGGATTACCAGAAGAAGGTGGTGTTTGATGTGAAGCTGAAGGAACTGCACACAGCTCTTGCTGACATGATTGAAGAAGAGCATACGGATGTGGGTGATGTGATCGACATGGTGAAGCAGAGAAAGAAGGAGGGCGGCCTGGCTGATGGTGATGTTGTTCGCACAGTTTGGGATGCAGTCATGGGGGCTGTGCAGTGGTCAGGCAAAAATGTGCAGCAGAATTCCAATACAGCCTTGCGACAGGTATGTACGGAATCCCCATTCTTATGTAAGGAGCTGGTTTAGGTAAAGTCTTGACATTGAGTCATCTCATGGGTTTTATATGGTCTACTTGGCAGCTCAAATCCTGGGCGAAGCTATTGGAGGCGGTTTGCTCCTCTGCCAAGATGGAGCTGGAGCTGCTTTACCACATTCAGATGCAGTGCTATGAGGACGCTAAGATCCAGCGCCTCTTTCCCGAGTTCGTCAGGACCCTCTACGATTGCGATGTGCTGGCAGAGGACACCATTTTGCTTTGGTTTCGCAAGGGTTCCAATCCTAAAGGAAGGTACGTAATATGGGTTGCACTGTCCCGCTTAGTATCCGCTTAGTATATCAGCTTGCTCTTAAAGGTGGAGTCTAAGTTGGAATCAATTCTTGTTTTGCAGGCAGCTGTTTGTCAAGGCACTCGAGCCTTTTGTCAAATGGTTGGAAGAAGCAGACGAAGAAGACTAAAGACTTGGTGGTTTGTAGATGTGGTTGTGAAATTCAGTCTTCTAACCTGAGAACACTGAATGTGATATGAACTGATGTTGTAGGCTGCAAAATGCTCTTATATTGACCAGTTGGAATGCAGGATTAAGCTGTATGTGCAGGTTTCCTTCTATCTCTTGTTCGGCTCTCTAAACTCAAGTTTTACAAACTTAAACCATAATTTGGTAGTATCAGTTGGTAAGCATTGACAACTACAGCCGCAAAGGGCTACTTACACATCTGCATGCATCAATTGGTGCTAATCGAGGGCATCATGAATGCTTAAAAAATCACAATACATCTTAACCTACACCCTACCCAGACAAAGTTTCCTCACACCTCATAACTACCGCCTGCGCTTCTTTGAGCCCCTTTTGGGAGTTCAGGTTCTTTCGCCTTGTCTTCGATTGATTCATTAGAAGACACCATTTCAAAATGGCACAGCAACCGTGGCCCCACAACCTCCTCTCCGGCCACCTCCACGAGAGGATGCCCCTTTCGGTCATACAGCGACACGCAGCGGAAGCCTGGCTTGAGTGATGCCACAGGCAGAACTGCCTGACCTGCAAACTCGTCATTAAACTGGTCCTTCTCTAAAACCTGTGGAGGGGTTGGCAGACAGGCAAAAAAATTGTGAGGCAGGTGAGATAATACTGAACATCAAGAGACATGCAAACACTGAACATCAAGAAACAATAATAGAGTAATCAGAATACTCAGGGTATTTGTATCATAAGTATACCTCAATGCAGAGCAGCGCAAGTTCGGGCAGTATGAGGGGGAACTCCAGGGTAGTGCTGTCCCAGCAGGGGCACCAGTTGTCGCTGCACGTATCAAGCTTCTTCTCTGCTGAGTCCGATGGTGCCCCCTCAATGCTCACCTGGTTATGGGCGGGGGTAAAGCACAACAGTATTCATTAGGAGATTGGCAACTTTCATATCAAATGATGGAGCTACCAATGCACCTGGTGCTATTTTTTGTATACCTTCTATCACAACACTCTCTCTCCCTTTTTCAGTCCTTCATCACTGACCAGGCATGGCAGCACTCCTTAATCACAATGCAACATGGACCAGTCACAGTCTACCAACGGCGGCTTGCAGAGTGGTTTGCTCTGGAAACTCAAGCATCAAGCGGCATCTTACTTTGCAGTAGAAGTCGGGCTTGGAGTAGGTGTCAAAGTGACCCTTGCCATACCGCTCCAACCACCCCGTGCCAACAACCACCCGCACCTGCAGGCCCGGCGAAGGATTGGGACATGGAAACGGGCGAGGGTAAAGCAAATGGAGGATACAGTCAGGAAAGGGATAGGGGAAGGAGAAGGATAGTAGGAAGAGAAAGATGTGGGGGTAAGAAAGACGGGAATCAGGAGAAAAATGGGAGTAAGGGAGCAGAGGGTAGTCTAAAATGGGGATAGTGGCAATACCAAACGAGAAACCGTACAAATTAGTCACATTACCCGGAGCGTCATTTGGATGGGTCGAGGAACAGAAGGGTCATAAACCCCTTCGGTGCTGCCTGCAGCACTCTCATCCCCCTCGGTGATCCCCTCCAGCTTGTTCCCAGCAGTGAGGTAGAAATCAGGTTTCTTGACGTAGCCACAACCCCCATTGGCACGGAAAAAGCCGTGCACGATCCATAAGGGCCGGCCGTAACCCTGGCGGTGGGCAGGCGAGGAACATGGTGGTGGAAACAAGACGGAAGACAGATGAATGTGAGGGGGAGAAAGACAGCGCAGTTGGCAACGAGGTGGCGATGAATGGTTCAGACCAGAAAGAGTCCTGAGAATAAGAGGAAGGTTGGGAGAGGTGGAGCGGGTAGAGATACTGGAAGGAAGAAGGAAGAGAGTAGTGGATTGAGTGGCTGGGGAGTGAGGCGGATTGAAAGAGAGAAGGAAGAGAGCGATGGGCATCACAACAGGGACATGGGACCTTTACGGTGATTGCAAGCTGACCTAAAGATGCCTACATATGTTCAGCTGCAAAGCATGACGTCATCATGCATGCTGACCTGCATGTTCATGGCCACCATCTGAGCGCCATGAAGCCATGCCGGCATGGGGTCGTAGTTGGATGACGTCACCCTCAGCCCGAAGGGGTAGATGCGAAGCAGGTTGCGCTGCGTGAAGCTGGAGGTGGGGATGGGGGGGGGGGGGGGAAGGGGGAGGGGGTCGAGAGAGGGGGGAAGCGGGGGGAGGGAGGAGGGGGGGTTGCGCTGAGTGAAGCTGGAAGGAGTTGGGGGAAGGTGGGCAGTGGTCGGGGGGACTGGCCAGTGGCGAGGAGTGGGACAAGGCAGAGGGGGAAACAAAGCCAGGGGAGAAACCAATCTGGGGGGCAGGGCAAAGGCGGAGGGAAAGGAAGAAGGCAGAAGGGGGGGCAAAGGCGCACAATGGGGCAAAGGCGCACAATGGGGCAAAGGCGCACAATGGGGCAAAGGCGCACAATGGGGCAAAGGCGCACAATGGGACAAAGGCGCATGCCGTGCCCAACAGACAACCTGCCCATGAGGTGACTTTAGAGTCGACTCAAAAGTCACACCATCACCAACCTGCCGTGCCCAACAGACAACCTGCCCATGCTCACCTCAGAAGTCTCCCTGAGGACACGTCTTGACCGTGTTAGTGCACTCTCAAGTCTTCTTGCCCCGCCCATTAACTCCCACTCTCCTCAGCTCACCCAGCCATCTCTCCCATTCATTCCACCTCACGAGCCCCTTGGGATATGCCTTGTGTCAGTGAGCTGCCGTTTGCTGAAGCTCACGCGGTCAGGCCTGCCTGCGTGGCCTGACGCCCAACCAGCCCCTCACACGCACCTCACCAGCCCCTTGAGTCCTGACACGCCTCAACAACCAACCTGTCCCGCGCCCTCACCTCACGAGCCCCTTAGGGCACGTCTTGGGGGTGTTGGTGAGCTGCGACTCGCTGAAGCTCACGCGCTTGGGCGGCCCCTCGCCCGTGTCTCGCCACTCACCACCGCTCACCTCACAAGCCCCTTGGGGCACGTCTTGGCCGTGTTGGTGAGCTGTGATTCGCTGAAGCTGACGCGCTTGGGCGGCCCCTCGCCGTTGTCCCGCAGCCCGTCCTCCACCGTCTGCCCCGCCGTCAGCTTACCGCCCGGAATGGCAATCAGCCGCCGGTACTCCGGTGCCAGCTGCTCCGGCTGGGTTGCTTCCTCGTCCTCTTCTTCCCACGTGCCCGCCTCCTGTGGCAGGGAGAGAGTTAGAGAGGGGAGGGAGGCCAACGACAAGGATCAATCAGCCCGGAATGGCAATCAACCGCCGGTACTCGGGGGCCAGCTGCTCCGGCTGCGCTGCTTCCTCGTCCTCCTCCTCCCATGCGCCCGCCTCCTGTTGCAAAGAGAAAGAGGAAGAAGAGAAGGAGGTGGTGCGGAGAAGGCTGGGAGAGTGTGAGGTACTCTTTGGTACTCCGAGGCCAGCTGCTCCGGCTACGCTGCTTGCTCGTCCTCCTGCCCTGCCCACGCGCCCGACTCCTTGTGTGGATGTAGTCGAGGGGCAGCTAATCCACCAGCGCTGCTACCTCCTCCTCCTCCTCCCACAATCCCCGCACCATCTCCCCTTCTCCCCCCAACACCTCCCTTCCCCTCCCCAAACCACCACCTCTCCCCACCCCCAACCTCCTTCTCACCTTGATAAGCTCCGCCTCGTTCACTTCATGAAGCCGCCCCTCCTTGAGAGGCACGCTTGATGCTGCGACGTCCCTCTCCGCCTCCCCCACCCCCAGCACATTCCTCACCCCCACCTACCCTCCCCTTTCAATCCCCTTCCCCCTCCCCCTTCCTCCTCACCTTGATAAGCTCCGCCTCGTTCACTTCATGCAGCCGCCCCTCCTTCAGCGCGGCGCTCGCCGCCTCGCGCGCCTTCTCCGCCTTGGCGCGCACCTTCTCCGCGTCCCCCAGCCCCAGCACCTTCGCCTTCGCGCGCCGCTCCTCGCTCGCCACCGCCGTCACCCCCCCTTCCCCCCCCGCGCCCGCGCCGCTCGCCGCCCCATCCGCCGGCTGGCCGTCTGTCTTCTCCTCTGCGGGGTCGTCTGTAGCGACGACGGTTGAGAGCTCTTTGGGGCCCTTGGGCGGCTGCGTGGAGATGAGGATCTTGCCGCGCAGCGAGAAGGGCGACGGGAACTCCTTGTCGCCGTCCTTGGGCATGTACAGCGTGTCGCCGAGAATCTCCGTGAGGGTCTGAGGGGGGGTGAGGGTGGGAGAGGAGGGGAAGATGGGGATATTTTGGAACGGCGCAAGGCGCAATGGCGCATGGCGCAATGTCGCATGGTGCAAGGGCGCAAAGTGCAATGGTGCATGGCGCATGGCGCGATGGCGCATGGCGCAATGGCGAATGGCGCAATGTCGCATGGCACAATGTCGCATGCTGCAATGGTGCATGCTGCAATGTCGCATGCTGCAATGTCGCATGCTGCACTGTTAAATGCTACGTGCTCCCTTCGCTACACTCGATCAACTGAGAGCCTGGCGCTTGCAGGACGCAATGCACTTGTTTGGTTGGCAAGTAATGTTACTATTATCAAAGCGCCTGATTCGGTTCCCTGGTTTTACGACCTCACCTGGGCGGCTTTTTCTTGCAGCGGCGCGGTGAGGTGGTCTTCGAGCGTGATAATAACGGGGTACTCGGACACCACGAACGCGTGCTCCTTGATCGCCGTGATGCAATCCGCGAACCCCACCGGCTTCGTCAGCGTGCTGCGCGCGGGAGGGGGGGAGTGATGGGGAAGCGGCGGGGGGGGGGGGGGGGGGGAGTGGTGAGGAAACGGCGGGGGGGGGGGAGTGGTGGGGAAACGGGGAGGGGGGAAGCGAAGGAAATGCGGGAAGGAATGGGAAAAAGGGAGCGGGAAGGCTGGAGGGAAGGAAGGGAGAAGGCGGGGAAGGCGCGGGGTTGCGCGCGGGGAGGCGCGAGGTTGCGCGTGGGGACGATGGGAAAACGCCGGGGGAACAACGGTTTGGGGGTCGTACCCGCCGTGCATGACGACGATCTCCGTCTTCTCGTTGTTGGGCCACAGATCCAGCTCTATAACGCGTACGCCGCGCTGCAGTGCCTTGATGATGGGCTTGACGCTGCTGTCGCTGGTGAGCTGGTTACCACTCAGGTACGAATTGTGGCCAGTGAAGATGAAGTAGTGCGACATCGGCTGCTTCATGTCGTGCGACACCTGCGATGTCGCAAGCGAGCATGCGACCATGAACGAACAGAAGCAAAAGATTGCTGCGTAAGATGGGAGCGAACGTCAAGTGGACGAAACGGACGGATTGCGGAGAGCGAGCATGCGAGAAACAATAACTTGGTGTTCGTTGCCCCCATTTTGCATTGATATGACCCAAAAAAAAAAAAAAAAAAAAAAAAAAAAACACTGTACTCGTTCGTTTCTTTCCAGTGACGACGATGGATGCCTTACTCGGGCGATGATAGGAGCAGTCGCAGAGGGGTTCATGAGCAAGCGAAAGAAACGATCTTCGTTAGGCCCCCCTGCGACGCCCATGAGCTTGCTGCCGACGGTGTGCGACACTTTTTCCATCGCATGCGCGAGCTTGCTGCCCTGGCCCTTGAACGTCATGCTGCGGTACATTCGCTCCTTGGGCGCCGGCGCCGCTGCCGCCTCCTCCTTGCCGCCGGTGCTAGGGAAGGAGAGGAGAAGGTTCGCGATAGGTCCATGGAGCACCCCCTGCAAAGATAAGAAGGGGAGTCATAATGCAGACCCTAGCCGAGATTTGAAACGCTTTATATAAAAGTTAGTTAAAGGCTCACTGCAAGGCGTCGACCAAAAACGGAGGCAAACGAACTACATATTGTTGATCCTTTAAAGAGGGGGTGCTGAAGACACGTCAATGTCACTGCTTTCTTGCGATAAGCAAAACAGATACTACATTGACAGCAAAAATGAGAAGCAATAACTTCTTATGCTGGCTCTTAAGTCACCTCATTGACTCTACTCACAACTCACCTTTGAATCAAGTACAATGGATACGTTATTGACATCAGCGGTAGCGAGGACTTGCGAAATGGTTACCACAAGTGAGCGACGATACCTTGTCCTGCTGGTACTCCTGGAAGAACTTAAGCAGAGCCTTGCTCGTGATCACGCCGTTCTCGTCCGCATACTCTTTGAACACCTGCTTCACCGACTCAGGAACGTCAGGGAACGGGGGCTCCCCGCCTTTCCCTTGCGAGCAGCAGTTCCCCATGCTTGCGACTACTAAAAAGCGATTCGCGAAACGCGTACGACTCTGCTTGAAGAGACGCAGGCGATCATCTAGCCATGGCCTGCCAACTAAAATAGACGTTTTGGCTGTTTGTCAACAAACCTAAGAACTGACTTGTGCTCAACTTCTGGAAAGCATATTCCCATCCTAGGCTCCTTCCGACACTCTGGTCTGTGTTGGGCGAACACTGACTGAAACAGTACAGTTGCTACAGCTGTCGCTTTGCTTGTTCTCTGCTCTTGGCCTTTCAAAACCACTCGGCCTTTCATCACCACTCCTCACCCCACAATAACCTCCGCTCCGCAGTCTCGTCCTGACGAGGGTCAGGCGGGGAAGCGCAGCCCCGGAGCCGAAGGTAAACTAGGCAGTCGCGGCATTACGGAAGCTTGCGGGGAAGTTCTGGGATTGCCGCACGGCGAGGGGAGGGACACTGGGCGCAGACAGCGTTGAGGTTAGGCCATGTCGATTGGTCCTCAAGCCCAGCGGAGCCCCGGACGGAACACTCAGCTTCGGCTGCGAAGATCGAAAAACCCGGTGCAAGCCACAGAGGGGCCAGCTGATACTTGCCGAACCGGAAGTGGGACGTGGCACTAGCCTTGGGGATCTCAGACCTACTGAGCTGGAGAGTCGAGCCTAGGGGTGACGTATGGTTGACGGGAGCCAGGCTGGAGCCCGTGGCACTCACGAATCCACGGTGGAATTGCGCGATGCGATGAGTGCCCTCTCCCTTATACACAAACTACATGTATAAACATTTTTCATTCCAGCCGTATCCAGAAGCGAGTTCATTCATAAATCGAGGTATTTGGAGACTGTCAGGAGGCGTTGGGCTTGTTGGGAGTTCCGTACGTGTAGTGTGTGTGTTGGCATTCCACATGCCATGCCGCAATACCAGTGCAGCTGAGTCAACTCTTCCGTGGCGTACATATGGCGCACTACCTATGGTCATTGGGATACATACGAATCCACGCAGGGCGCTCCCACGATATGGTCCCACTGGTTGGGAGAACTGCTCAGCAGATTGGTCCAGCGAGGCATCACACTCTCGTGCTGATACAGCAGATCGTGACAGCTCACTGAACCAAACCAAACCCAAGGCACCTTCCTTATGATTCTTGCATCTTCGTCCCGATGAGCAACCGCCACAGCAGCTGAGGGGAAGGCCTTCTGTTATGATACAGTCTGTTTTTCAGACATCAGAATTCAAATTGATTCCTTGATTACATCGCACTCAGCTGTAACTACGTGGTTCCTCCAAGCGTCGTAGACTTTCTGCTAGAGCCAGAACCTTCGAATCCGCACTCATGTTGGCCTCCGCGCGCGTAGCGTCGGCCCACGCGCTGTCCGTGGCGTGCAGAATACCCACCCATAAGAGCCAACAAGCGCACTCCCACGTGCCGCTGCTACAAGGTTCGTTCTTTCGACAACGTGATCTCGGAAGGTGTCTGGTTTACGAACTGTAGAATACTTCAGACGAGAAGTATTTTATAAGCGGGCAGGTGCTGCTGTAATTCCTAAAAGAATCGCGTTTCGTATTGTCATCATGTACCCATTTACATTCAGCAGGTCGCAAGAAGCATGTAACGAGACCCGTCTGCCAAGCCAGCCACCGGAGCAAGGTGAGAGCTGTGCCAGGAACCGATTTACGCTAAAAAAGAAGTATCGTCATTCTACTGACTATTGTTAAGTGCCTCGCATAGAAGTCCCGGTGGCATGAGCGCGTACGGATGCATGCGTGAGCCACAAGGCTCCCTCAATGCGCGAACCACTCCGGAGAACGCATGGTAAGCATTACGAGATACGCAAGTTATCTATCGCAAAATTCGCACCAGCCCAAAAGTTGCGTGAATGCGACCTGTCGAAGATACGACTATGATCCTGCATAATGATGCAGCAGTACGATCGCTATGATCCCCTACCACCTGCAAATCCTTATCCCCGTGCGTTCTATGCCTTTTTCTCTCCCATCTCCCGCATCCTCTTCCTTCCCACTCACTTCAGACCGAGACCACCATCACCTCCACTACCACCACCACAGCAGCTGCCGCAGCAGCAGCAGGAGGCGGTCTGTGGACTCTCCTCGCAGCGCTCCCCATCCCTCCCGCCCTTGCGGAGACTGGAGCGGATGCAGACGCGGCGGCGGCAGCGGCGGCGGCGTTGGCGGACGCGTGCTCGCAGGAGCTGGGCGGGGCGGACCTGAACACGGTGATCGCCGTGGCGTGCGTCGTGCAGCTCATCGCGCTCATCGGCGCAGGCGTCGGAGGTGCGTGGCGCGCCGCAATGAGATACGTAAGGTTCTGACTTTTGAAAAGCCTCAAGTAGTGTGGAGGTGGGTAGCGGTGTCGTGCAGCTCATCGCGCTCATCGGCGCGGGCGTGGGAGGTGCGTGGCAGGCCGCAGTGAGGTAGATGGATTGGAGATTTGAAAGACCTCCGGTGTGGGAGGTGGGTGGCAGCATAGAGCTAGATGCGACGTGGTTGGGACCCGTAGGGGTATGCGGAAGGTGAGTGGTCTGCATTGACCGGGGGGGGAGGTGACTGTCATTGATCGTAAGTTGGAGTTACGGAGGTTGCAGCTGAATCTCACCTTAAACTTGAACGAGACGCAACGAATCTGATGGCCAAGGGATTGTATTCACAACTTTTGTATCCGTCTCCCCAACTGCTGGTTCAGGCACGCCCTTTCCCCCGCGCTCTCTGTGTTGTGGCCTCTCCTGATCTTAGAAGCACTTCAAGCGAAGCATTTGTCACTCACTCACTCCTTACTCATTCACTACCCACTATTCAATTACCCCTCCCTCCTCAGTCACTGCGTCCCTTTCTTCAATCCCCTTCCTGTCACCAACATACTCTCACTTAAATAACCCATTCTGCCACACTTCAATAATATTGTAGCAAATACGCACCTCATCCTCATGGCCCACCCGATCCCCCATCTCCACAGCTCCAGGCTGGATGGCGCGGGTGCCCAAGGTGAAGGTGGAGGCGCCTCAAAAGCCACTCACACATGCCCACCCATCCCCATCCCCATCCCCACGACCCCATCCCAGGGTGGGTGGCACGGGTGCGCAAGGCGGAAGTGGAGCGCATCAACGCGCAGCTGAGGCAGATCAACATCAGCCTGCGCAAGCACCACTTTTGAGGCGCCTCAAAAGCCTCTCACACATGCCCACCCACCCCATACCCCACCTCCATGGCCACAGGGTGAGTGGCACGAGTGCGCAAGGCGGAGGTGGAGCGGATCAACGTGCAGCTGCGCCAGATCAACATCAGCCTGCGCAAAAACTTATGAGGTGCCTCAAAACTCGCTCACACCCAATCCATCCCCACGGCCCCACTCCCCATCTCCTCCATGGCCACAGGCTGGGTGGCACGGGTGCGCAAGGCGGAGGTGGAGCGAATCAACGCGCAGCTGCGCCAGATCAACATCAGCCTGCGCAAGCAGGCGCGCGTGGAGTCCTACGCGCCCTCCCTCTCCTACGCCCCCGTCGGCCAGCCCGCCGCCGCCGCCGCCGCTGCCGCTGCCGCTGCCGCCGCCGCTGCTGTCGCTGCTGCGAGCGCGCCAACAGAGGCAGTAAAGAAGGAAGGGGGGGCGGCAATTTCAGAGGAGAAGCGGGCGGTGCTGCGGCTGTTGAAGGAGGGCAAGAGGTACCTGCGCGAGGGCAACAACGCGGCGGCGTTTGTGGAGTTTGAGAAGGGGCTGCAGCAGGCGCAGCGCATGGGGGATTGCCTGGAGGAGAAGAAGGCGGCGCGAGGGTGTGGTGAGTGCGGTGGGGCGCTGGTCGTGGATGGGTGTTAGGCGTCTGATTGTGTGTCTTGACGTCTGCCATTTTACAGGCTCTGGTTTTGTGCATGAGTAAAGCTGTTTAATGCACAATCGTGGTTTGAAGCATGGGTATCATGGCCTGTTGGATGGGGTATCACAGCTGGTTGTATGGGTTGCCACAGACGCCAGCCATCCTGATGCAGGTTTCCTCCCACGTTGGCATGGTAAGCACTGCACCATAACCCTTTATCATCTCTACCCCACCAGTTCTCTCCCGCTGTACCCTCCTCATTCTTCAGCTAACTTTCTGCATGTGCATGTTTTCTCCTCTCCTTTCTCTTCCCGCCATCCTATCTCGCGCTCTCCCACTCTCCCCCTCTTATGCCTCTGCTTGCCTTCATCTCACATTCTATTCCCGCGCTTGTTCCCTTACTGCTTCTCTATTCCCCAGGGGCGTCGCTGCAGCGGCAGGGCAAGTATCGGGAGGCGATAGCATACCACCAGAGGGTGCTGGACAAGTCGTGCAGCTCAGGCGAGCATGCAGGGGACACAGAGGCCTATGGCGCCATTGCCGACTGTTACACTGAGATTGGGGACCTTGAGAATGCCGCCAAGTACTATGACCGGTACATTTCCCGGATGGAGTCTGACGATGAGGACCATTAGGTTAGGTGTCTTGCCCAATGTGGTGTACCGTATCTTTCTACATGGATGTTTCCGTTTTCTGTGACTTGCATGTATACTACCATGAGCAGCACTCTGTCCACAGTGAATGCCCTGCCCACATTTGTGTGTGGCGCACTGTGTGAAATGAACCAGGGAATACACGGGGGACACGCAGGCCTGGCAGCTGCTACACTGAGATGGGGAACCTTGAGAATGCCGCAATTCTGTACACCCGTTCACATAATCTGTAAGATAATCTTGAAGTTGAGAAGTTGGCAACTCGGCAAGAAGCAACATACTGTACAATACCGGTTCAGGTGCCTGTGCTGAATATTGGTGCTACCACACACAGCCTTGGCTTATTTTGCCGTGTGTCTCAAGAACCCTTCTCTTGCGAGTAGTGCGGAACCAAAAGCAGCATCCGTGTTCCCTGACGGGGCCACAGGCACGCCCATCACTCGCTCCCTTATCGCACTCCATGTGGGGTTGCCTGCACCTCCACCTGCGGTGTAGACCCGCTTCACTGGCGGTGACGCTCCCAGGTGAGCTAATAACGAGTATGCCCTCGCCTGTTGGGGTGGGGGCAGGAGCGGATCACATGTGTGGGCATGTTGCACAGTAGCAGATGAAAAGGAGCGAGTGGATGCCATGGTGCTTGTGTGCGAGCATGACACTGTAACAAGACAAACAAGGTGCGGAATCAATGGAGAAAGGGAGTGGGGAGCAGAGGCGCACCTCTATAGTGGCAATGGGTTCAAGAATGCCGTGCAGGAAGAGAGATTGAGATGGAAGACAAGTGAGTGACGGGACAAGGAAGCGAGTGACGGGACAAGGAAGCGAGTGACGGGACAAGGAAGCGAGTGACGGGACAAGGAAGCAAGTAGCAGGGGCGCACCTCAATGGTGGCAATGGACTCGAGAATGCCGTGCAGGAAGAGAGCGTCATCAGCAGGGCGAGGAGTCAAGCTGCACGAGCGAGAGAGGAAAGGAAAGGTGTGACTTATCCAATTCAGAGACAACCCAGTTAGGCTGGCTGTGCGATCAAAGGGGTGGATGCAATGAGTGGGGGCACACGGACAAGACCATATGGCAGCTAGGTATGAATCCGAGGCTGCACACTCACCGAGGCTGTAGGTCAGGGTCGGACACGGGGAACCTCTCCCCTGGGCGAGTAAGTGGGTAGTAATCGAGTTTACTCCCTACACTCGGGTCTATTTTTACACTCAGCTCCCTCAGCTGCTCGTCTGTGAAATACCCCCGCAGCACTGCGCCGCCCGTATTCGACGCCCCGCCGACCAGCCACTTGCACTCCTTGTCCTCTTCTGCCGCACCTCCCTGCTCCGTCTCCCCCTCGTTCTCCACCTCGGGCGGCGCCCAATTTCCGGGCGGCAAGCGGTGGCTGTATACTCCAAAACGAGCATCGTCGATTCTCGCAGTGCTGACGAGCTTAACGGCGAGGGTAGAGCCGAGCGAGGTGACGGCATACCCGGGGGTAGTTACCCTCGCGGCCAGGAAAGCGGCAATGCTGTCGGTGGTGCCGGTGGTGACGATGCAGTCAGACGGGAGGGCTGCCAGGGAGGGAGGGAGGGAGGGACGGAGGGAGCAAGTGGAGGGTGGAAGGGGGGGAGGCATATGTTTATGTCCCTCGCGGCCAGGAAGGAGGCAATGCTGTCGGCGGTGACGGTGGTGATGATGCAGTCAGACGGGAGGGAGGGAGCAGGTGGGGGACATAAGAGTGTGATGGTGAGAACATGACCAGTGCGAGAGACCACACATAGGAGGAGTTACATACAATGCTGTCATGGAGGGATGGTAGTGTGATGGTGAGAGTGATGATGAGTGTGTGACCAGCTCTAGTGACCACAGATCATAAGTTACAAGTATGCCTGATTGCATGACATGCACTTGAACGCCCAGTCTGAAGCCAGCCGCGTGATTGCTTCACACACACAAAGGCCCTCCAACTCGATTCACCAAGTCAGCCGCGACTTGTGTCCCCACAGTGCCAGTAGGGGAGGCAAGTGGCAGCACACGTGGTAGGGTGGAAGCATGGTACTCCCACGGACAGAACAACAGACACGTGACTTGTCACTGCTTCCAACTCCCCACCTCGACTCACCAAACTCGGCTGTGAGTTGTGCTGCGACGGAGCCAATGAGGGAGCCGGGCGGCAGCACACGTGGCAGCATGGGGGAGAAGGGCAGTGCGAGCAGCCAGTCGGGGTAGGCGCTGCTCTCAGGGTCGTAACCCAGCTGGGAGGGTTGTTGGGGGGGGAGGGGAAGGTGTATTCGGGGGAGGCGTGCTGTGAGAATGATTGGGTTCACGCTGCCAGTCGGGGTAGGCGCTACTCTTAGGGTCGTAGCCCAGCTGGGAGGGTTGAGGGGAGGGATATATAGGGAAGGAGTATTTAGGGGAGGTGTATTTGGAGGAGTTATGAAACGAGCATCCCAGTAGGAAGAAAGAAATAAAGAAAGAAAGAAGAAGAAATAAAACGTTACCATCACGAAATCACCTTTTCAGACGTCTGAAAGCTCACCAGTACCATCCCACGCACCAGCGCATCGTCCCATCTCATCTCACCTTGAGTGCGCTGTTGAAGTCTTTCACATGCACATCCGCTGCGCCGCCCCACACAGCTGGCTGGATAGCAAGCTATGAGGCAAAATTATCCAACATGGCCACCACCGTCACACCCATCAGCAACACCTCACCTTGAGCGCGTTATTGAAGCCTGTCACATGCACGTCCGCTGCCCCACACAGCTGCTTGGGGAGCAGCTTGTCACGCACAACCATCCCATGCTACCATCCCATGCTACCATCCCATGCTACCATCCCGCCGCCGCCCAATCACATCTCACCTTGAGGGCGTTATTGAAGTCTGTCACATGCACGTCCGCTGCCCCACACAGCTGCCCCAATAGCCAGTCCGCCTGATGCACCATCACCACCTCCCCCTCTCCCTTTCCTCCCTCTCCTCCTCCACCTCTTCCCTGTCTCTCCTCCTCCCCACTCCCCTCCCCCTGCCCACCTCCCCCCCCCTGCCTCAACCACCACGTCATCAGCTTGCACAGCGTGGACGTGCCAGCTGTCGTCGTGTGATTGGCCGGCGCCACTGCCGCCACGGCAGCCACGGCTTCAGCGCTGCCCGCCTCGTTGTACATCATGGGGCGAGCAATGGGCTCACGTGTGGTGCTGGAGATGGGATGGGGGGAACGAGGCAATCAGTCTCTTGAATCGGACTGCCTGCCTGCTTCAGGGCTGCCCGCCTCGTTGTACATCATGGGTCGGGCCACGGGCTCACGGTTAGAGCTGATACACGGAAGGGATGGAAGAGACGAGAGGGAGGAGGAGCAACGGTCGCACCACATTGCACCACACGCTGCTTGCCTCGTTGTATGAAGAGCTCGTGGTGTTGCACCCACGCATGCGTGCATTTTTATGCTCACATGCCATCATGCCACCATACCACCTGCGGCTCTCTTTCCCCAGCACCGCACTGCACCCCTGTAGTGGCTCTCTCACTGCCTGACGAGCATGGTGGTGCCAGACGCTATGTTGGCAGATACGCTCTTGAAAGGCTGGCGTATCACGTATATTCGCTAGCGTATATGCGTGATACGCTGATACGCTCTGAATTCGCGAAAATACGGATGGGCAGCCCGGCGAAAAAAAAAATCCGAAATTGAAAAACTTCGCGACGATGTGCAAAGTCGCGAAGTGTTACCGCGACTTCGCTCATGTGCCCAACCCCACTTCTGAACTTCGAATTTCAAAATCCAAACTTTCCCACCCCCTCAACCACACATCACCTCACCCAACCTCTCAGTCCCAACCACCCCCTTCAAATGTTCTTCCATCGTTTGCACGTATAGGTCGACGTTGCGCAAATGCTCTTCCATTTCCTTCCCGCATTTCTCCACTCTTCTTCGTTAGTAAGACTTACGTAGTGCGCCATGGCGTCGGGCTCAGCTCCTAGTACTTCGACGAACAACAATCCAGCCTCTGTCCATGACTCTACTACCGTCAACACGGATCCTGTTGAGGCTAGACTATCTCACCCCATTCTGAAACATTTCCTCATTCCGTTTCACACCAAAGGCAACCCCAAGCTGTGCAAGTTCTGTGGCAAGAAGTTCGAGGGCGGAACAAACCGCTGTGCAATCCATCTCGCGACATGGAAAGGGCAGGAGAAGCGCGCTGTGGCGTTATGCAAGGACGCGCCCACGGCAGTCCGCGATGAATTCCGTGGCATGTACGAGACCAAGGCGGAACAGCAGGACTTGAAGCGAGGGGCGGCCGCTACTGCAATTCACTCCGCGCTTGACGCTGTCAGTGGAAACCCGGAGAAAAAGAGCAAAATTACGGATTTCTTTGGCAATGAGGCGACGTGCGCCAAGGAGGACGCGGATAACGCGCTTTGCCTTCTGTTCGCGGCGCTGAAACTTCCGGAGCGCATTGCGGACGATCTGGTCTTCCGCTACGCGGTCCAGTGCATTGCGCGCGCTGGACCTGGGTACGTCCCTCCTAAGAGGCGCTACATTGGAGGGGCAGGCTTGAAGAAGGTGCGGCAGAAAATAGAGGTCGCGTTCGCCCCCGTTGCCGCGAGCTGGAAGCGGGACGGGGTAACGGTGTCGTCGGACATGATGACCGACCGTTGTGGCCGCCCGCAGGCCAACGTGCTCCTTGTCAACGACTCCGGCGCAGTTTTCGAGCAGGCGGTGGACTGCAACATGGAGTCGAAGACCGGGGGGTACATCGCCAGCCTTCTCCGCCCCGTCATTGATAAGGTGGGGCCGAAGAATGTGGTGGCGGTCTGCACCGATGGCGGCAGCAACTATGCATCGGTCGCCAAGAAGATTGCGAGCACATGGCCGCACATTGAGCATGTGCCATGTGCCACGCATGTCCTGGACCTGATGATGGAAGATATGGGCAAAATGGGATGGGCGAAGGGGCTTGTGGAGAAAGGAGGGGAGATGATTATCTTCGTGCGCAACCACCACTTTACCCGTGCCTATATGAAGAAAGTGGGGGGGAAGTAGGTGCTCAAGCCTGCGGGAACCAGGTTCGGGACACAATACATTGCCATGGCCCGGCTATGTGAGGTGAGGAGTGGGCTGGCGGCGATGGTGCTCAGCGACGAGTGGAAGGTGTGGGCAGCGGCGGACAAGGATAGGAAGACAGCAGCTGAGAAATTCAGGGTTGCTGTGATGGATGAGGAGTGGTGGGGGGTGGCGGAGTTCTTTACCTCTCTCATGGCGGTGCCATTCAAGGCCATGCGGGCCACGGACTCTTCCGCGAAAGGCATGATGGGTAAGCTGTATGACATCATGCTACAGCTTACCGAGGACATCAATGACAAGCTCGACGCTTCAAGTGACTTCTTGACTCGGACAGAGAGGGCAGACATCACCAAGATTGTGAAGGGTAGGTGGGACAACTCCCTTGCCTGCCCCATGCATGTGGTTGGCCGGATCCTGAATCCGGCCAACCAGGAGGAGGGAATTTTCAGGAACGATGTGGAGTGCACGCGGGTGTTCAAGGACTACATCGAGCGCCACTATGACAACAAGACCTTCAAGCGTGGCAAGGATGGCGCCCCTCGCCGCGCCTCCCTTGTGCTGCAGGAGGCATTGCTGGCCTACATCAACATGGAGGGCAGCTTTGGCAAGCCGGGCGCCATTTCTGCAAGGGAGGCAGTGAAGAAGGGGGAGATGAGCATGGTGCAGTGGTGGTCGTGGCACAGCACCGAGTATCCTGAGTTTGCCGCCCTCGCATGTCGGGTGCTCACTCAGCCCGTCTCGGCTTCCCCATGCGAGCGTGGCTGGGCGCAGTGGGAAGGCGTCCACACCGCCCGCCGCAACCGGCTCGGGTCCGCCAAGTGTGCGGACCTCGTCTACATTGCGCACAACTGGAACGTTGTGCGCAATTGGTACAAGAAGGATGGGGGCAGCACGGTTGTGCCCGGTAACATCCCGGATGCCCCTATCCTCCCGGCTATAACATGGATGAGGAGGAGGATGACATGCTGGGGGAGGAAGGAGAGGATGCAGTGCTGGCGGATGAGTATGGGGAAGGTGTGGTGGTGGAAAAGCCCCGCAAGGAAATCGGTTGTGGGGAAGCTAGCTAGAGGGTGGGGTGGGGTGGGGATGTATGGGGAGAAGTAGCCCCAAATATGTATTTCTGGATATTTATGAAATTTAAATTATGACTTGTGTTCTTGGAAAACAACCCCCCCCCCTGAAACAGGAATTTTTAGCCCTGCCCGGGAAAAAAGTTTTACCTGCCCGCCCAGCGTATTTTTGCGTATCACCAGTACGCCAGCCCTGGCGTACCGCGTATATACCCAGCGTATAATACGCTAGCGTATTATACCCTGGGACGCGTATCTGCCAACGTAGGCCAGACGTGCCCTCCAGCACCATGTCACCTGGACCACACCACACCGCACTGCACCCATGCAGACGCTCTCTCACCGGCCGACGACCATGGTGGTGGCGGACGTGCCGTCCAGCGACACTGCCACCACTTGCCGCCTCAACTCCTCGGGAATGTCGCGCAACAGTCCAAACAACGCCGCCCGCCAACCTTCCGCTGCTGACACGTCACTGTCCGGGTCGCTGCTTCTGACGACTGCTGACTCGGATGCTGACTCAGCATGGGCGGCAGGAGGGTACTTCCTCTTGACGTCAGCAAGAATTGTGGCGTTGCCATCGATAACAACAGCACGCGCCCCAGACGTGCCAAAATCAAATCCCAGAAAAAGTGGGGACAATTCAGCTGCTGACGTGGACGCGCGCACAAGGACGGCGCCGCCAGGTTGCCGGACACGTGGCATTGCCTTCAAGCTGCCACGTGGCAGCAATTTCCGGATTTGCCCTTCTACAAACGGGTTGTTCAGGCGGTTCCTGTGTGGTCGGCTTATCCCCGTCCGCCAATTAGGTTGCTCCACGTGGCGATTGGAGGCGCATTGCCCTCCCACGGTCGTGCTGATTGCTGGGGCGGCAATGTTGCAGTGACAATAGCGATGGGTCGCATTCTGATTCCGAGAGTGAGTATGGGGGAGAGTGCGGCAGAGAGCGAGAGTGCAGCGGGATTCAAGGCGCGCGGAGGTCGAGGCAGGGTGGGGACGACAATGCGCATTCCGCGGCAATGCGCCGCACGTTGGGGAAGCCATACAAAGCAAGGTCATGGGAAAAGAATACCGAGAATATTACACTACAAAGTATACTTTAAAGCGTACACTCAGCCGTGGGCGTTTGGTCTAGTGGCATGATTCTCGCTTAGGGTGCGAGAGGTCCCGAGTTCAATTCTCGGAACGCCCCTTTTCTCTCCTCCCAATATTTTTTTTTCGCTCCTAATGGCCTGTTGGTTGAGAAATTAGAGGCCTCTGAACCTCTGAGTTTACTACCTGACCCTGAAGGGGACGAGAAGGAAGCTTGGGTGAAGGAACAACTGGCATAGGGCATTAAATCCAAGCATGAGTTGCACGGCTTGCTTTGGAATGCAGCAATGCACAACATCTAACAGTCATCCTTCCCTGCCTTCTCTAGTTATGGTACCTCATCGTTTATGCTCATATATATACAAGAGCATTAGCTTCCATGTATTGTACCCGTAGTACTGTTTCCCTAGCTCTATGTGCAGTACGCAACAGGATCTTTACAGATCCCTCGTAATTCCTACGTATGCATGTTACGCACCTTGATTAACTTCAGGTAATGTCTCCGGTACCTCAGTAAGCTGTTGCGCCGGTGTGTGCAACCGCTCGGGTGTGTGCTGCTGCTGCCGCTGCCGCTACAGCTCAGGGTGGCCATAATGCGTGCGCGGGTGGCGTGTGATGACGCGTGAAGCACTGGTGCGAGGCGCATGAATCACCCAGCCAGGGCCTGACAGGCATGTGCTGGTGCTACCGTGTGGGCTGGCCGTAGTGTGTGCGCAGGTGGCACGTGAGGCACTTTAAGCCCTGCTCTGGGTCGTATGTACCACGCAGGCAGGCCTGAACAGAGTATGCTGCTGCAACTGCTAGGGATGGCTTGCCCGCGTGTGCTGGTGCTGCCGCGCTGGCTGGCCATTGTGTGTGCGCAGGTGGCGTGTGAGGTGCTTGAAGCCCTTGTCTGGGGTGTATGCACCGCGCAGGCAAAGCTAAATCGCGTATGCTGCTGCAACTGTCCGCGTGTGCTGGTGCTACCGCGCCGGCTGGCCGTAGTGCGTGCGCAGGTGGCGTGTGAGGTCCACCTTGTACCCAAACGCCCTCCCACACTCCGTAAAGCTGCACGGGAGGAAGGGGGGGAGGGGGGGAGCGGACAGGTGGGAAGCAAGGGAGTGTGTACGCAGGTGACGTGTAAGGCCTTGTACCCAAACGCCCTCCCACACTCCGTAAAGCTGCACGGGAGGAAGGGGGGAGGGGGGAGGGGCGGGCCGGACAGAGGGCGTTGAGGAGGGAAGCAAGGTGGGAAGGGAGTGCGTGCGCAGGTGGCGTGTGAGGTCCACCTTGTACCCAAACGCCCTCCCACACTTTGTGAAGCCTCATTTAGAGGTTGGGGGAGAGAGCGGGGGAGGGGGGGGGAGCGTGGGGGACGGGGGGATGGGGGGGGGAGGGTGGGAAACGGGGTTGGAGGGAGAGGGGGAAAGGGGGAAACGGGGTTGGAGGGAGAGGGGGAAAGGGGGAAACGGGGTTGGAGGGAGAGGGGGAAAGGGGGAAACGGGGTTGGAGGGAGAGGGGGAAAGGGGGAAACGGGGTTGGAGGGAGAGGGGGAAAGGGGGAAACGGGGTTGGAGGGAGAGGGGGAAAGGGGGAAACGAAGGGGGAAGTGTGATGCGGCAAGCGAGTGGGACTCACGAGCAGTGGGGGAAGGGCTTTTCGCTTGTGTGTGTGCGCAGGTGGCTTTTGAATCAACTCATAAGGCAAGGCAGGGCATGAGCAATAGCAGTGGAAGAGCAAGGCATGCATGGCTCACGAGCAGTGGAAGGGTTTCTCGCCCGTGTGCGTGCGCAGGTGGCCGTGCAGCGAGTTGGTCCACTTGAACGTCTTCTCACACCCCTCCCACGGACACTGCAGGGGCCGCTCGTTGCTGTGCGTGCGCTGATGCACCACCTGGTAAGGGGAAGGAGGGAGAGAGGAGGGGGAGAGGGAGGGAGGAAAGGAAGTGCGGGTTGTTGGTTTGGCCCTGCGCTGACAAGTGAGGAAGAGCAGGGAGGCGAGCAGGGAGGCGAGCAGGGAGGCGAGCAGGGAGGCGAGCAGGGAGGCGAGCAGGGAGGCGAGCAGGGAGGCGAGCAGGGAGGCGAGCAAAGGCAAGGACGCCATGCCTGTCAACACAACTTGGTTCCAGCCACTCACCAGCCGCTCTCGGAACGCAAACCGTTTCCCACACCCAGGCACCGCACACGCGTGCAAGCACTCGTGCTTCTTGACGTGCCGGCCCAGCAGCTGCCGGGTGGCCATGCGCTCGCCACACCCGTCCACGGAGCACTGGTAGGGGCGCTGCCCCGAGTGCTCGTTCAGGTGGTCCTTGAGTGTCCCTGGCGTGGCGAACTTGCGCGGACACCCCGTGTGCGGGCAAACGTGCGCCCTTTCACTCGCTGCTATCAGCCTCTTCGTCTCCTGCAGCATCTGGAAAGGGGGGAACAGAGAGGCAGAGAGGCAGAGATGCGGGAATGATAGAGGCAGAGAGAGGGGACAGCCAGTGTGCAGGCAGAGAGAGGGGACAGCCAGTGTGCAGGCAGAGATGTGTGCTCGCTCGCTTGCAGCTATCAGCCTCTTGGTCTCCTGTAGCATCTGGGGGGAGTGGGAAGGGATGAGAGTAAGGAAGATGGGATGAAAGAGGGAGACAAACTGCTCTGAGGCAGCATGAACCTTCACAAAAACAAGTGCTCGCCCGCTAGCTCGCTGCTATCGCACCCCTTTCTCCTCTCACCTGCTCCAGCTCCACTGTCCGCTCCCCCCATAGTGTCTCCAGCAACTCACCATCCGCTTGCAGCCCTCTACGCACCCTCTTCATGATTCACTTTCTATGCAGCACACCCCTCCTCCTCCCCTCTCACCTGCTCCATCTGCGCTACTGTCAGCTCCTCCCAAGGCGTCTCCAGCAAATAACCATCCCACACAGTCCCTCCTTTCAACCCGGCCATCATCCCATTCCTACCACACCCTCCCCTCCCATCTCACCTGCTCCATCTGCGCTACTGTCAGCTCCTCCCAAGGCGTCCCCAGCAACCCGCCACCCGCCTCTCCTCCCCCTGCAGCATGTGCTCCCTGTTGTGCCCCGTGGCCCCCCTCTGCTCCTCGTGCTCCCTGCACTGCCCCTTGTGCCCCTTGTGTTCCCTCACTTGTGCTACGAGCTACAGCAGACCGAGTAACAGCGCTAGCACCACCAGTGCTAGCAGCAGCATGAGGCGCACCACCAACCCCTTGCCCAGCAGCCATGCCAGCAGCCTCTAGAGCCATGCGGTACGTCATTGCCAGCTCGTATGCATCTGACCCCCTCAGCTGCTCCGGCCTGCACGTGGGAGCAGGATGGGAACAAGAGGTGGGCGGAAGGGAGCATGGGTCTCTTCACCCCCTTGCCTCCACAGCCATGCGGTACGTCATTGCCAGCTCGTACGCATCTGATCCCCTCAGCTGCTCCGGCCTGCACGGGGGGGTGAAGGAAAGGGGGGATGACTACACGGGTTGCCACTGCTGCACTACTGCTGCTGTCTGCTCTCCTTCCTGCTGCTCAGGGCGGAGGGCAAGCCCGTGAGGGGCCATCCAGCGGTGTCCCCACTCGTGGAGCTCAGGCTGTCCCTGGAGAAGGTGAGTCGGCTTGGAACACGTTGGCTGAGGGTTCAGTGTTGGGGGTTCTGGGGATGTGTTCAGGGGATGTGTTCTGGGGATGTGTTCTGGGTGCATTCTCAGGGCGGAGGGCAAGCTCAAGCTCCATGGCACGGTCTATTGCTGCACGGTCTATTGCTGCACGGCCTTTTGCTGCACGGTCTATTGCTGCACGGTCTATTGCTGCTCGGTCTATTGCTGCACGGTCTATTGCTGCTCGGTCTATTGCTGCACGGTCTATTGCAGCACGGTCTATTGCTGCACGGTCTATTGCTGCACGGTCTATTGCTGCACGGTCTATTGCTGCACGGTCTATTGCTGCTCGGTCTATTGCTGCACGGTCTATTGCAGCACGGTCTATTGCTGCACGGTCTATTGCTGCACGGTCTATTGCTGCACGGTCTATTGCTGCTCGGTCTATTGCTGCACGGTCTATTGCAGCACGGTCTATTGCTGCACGGTCTATTGCTGCACGGTCTATTGCTGCACGGTCTATTGCTGCTCGGTCTATTGCTGCACGGTCTATTGCTGCACAGTCTATTGCAGCACGGTCTATTGCTGCACGGTCTATTGCAGCACAGTCTATTGCTGCACGGTCTATTGCTGCACGGTCTATTGCTGCACGGTCTATTGCTGCACGGTCTATTGCTGCACGGTCTATTGCAGCACGGTCTATTGCTGCACGGTCTATTGCTGCACGGTCTATTGCTGCTGCACGGTCTATTGCTGCTGCACGGTCTATTGCTGCACGGTCTATTGCTGCTGCACGGTCTATTGCTGCACAGTCTATTGCAGCACGGTCTATTGCTGCACGGTCTATTGCAGCACAGTCTATTGCTGCACGGTCTATTGCTGCACGGTCTATTGCTGCACGGTCTATTGCTGCACGGTCTATTGCTGCACGGTCTATTGCAGCACGGTCTATTGCTGCACGGTCTATTGCTGCACGGTCTATTGCTGCACGGTCTATTGCTGCACGGTCTATTGCTGCACGGTCTATTGCTGCACGGTCTATTGCTGCTGCATGGTCTATTGCTGCACGGTCTATTGCTGCTGCACGGTCTATTGCTGCTGCACGGTCTACTGCTGCTGCACGGTCTATTGCTGCTGCACTGTCTATTGCTGCACGGTCTATTGCTGCCAGCTCATATGAAGAGAGGGACTTCCTCACCTGCTCAGGCGAGTGCAAGAAGCCTCACTTACGTTACGAGGGTAAAACGGGGAAAACGAAAGGTTCACAATTATGAGCAGAAAGCAGGGAACAGGGAGGTTACATGGCCCCTACTTGAGGCAGAGATTGCAGATCACAATGATTGATTCTCATGCCCACTCTATTGACCCACTCACTGGATTCGCTTCCACCTGGAAAGCGCCAGCCTGCCCGAGAGAGCCGCCTTTTGAGTCGACTCAAAAGACACTCTCAAAAGTCACTCTCAGAGCCTCACCCATTTCATTGACCCACTCACTGGATTCGCTTCCACTTGGACAGAGCCAGCCTGCGTGAGAGAGACGCCCCCCTCCCCTTCACGCCTGCCCTCTCCCCCTCCCCCTTCCCCCCTTCCTTCTCCGCGCCCCCTCTCCCCCTCCCGCTCCCATCTCCCCTCATTGCCCTGTCTCCTCCCCCACCTCTCCCGCTCTCCCCTCCCACCTCATCTCCACTGTCCCATGCACCCCCCTCTTGCCCCCCTCCCACGGCCCCCTCCTGCTCTCCTCTCGCGCCCCCCCCTTCTCCCAACCACTCCACACAGTCGCCCTCGCCACTACCCCCACATGCATCCCCCTCCTCCTCCCTTCCCACGCGCTCCCCATCCGCCCCCTCTCTCCCCTGCCGACCTAACCCATGCGCGCTCTCTCCAAACACCTTCCCAGCCACCTCCCGTTCGTCCAATCCCCCACGCTCCACCCGCCTCCTCTTCGCTATATGCTGCTCCACATCCCCACCAGCACCACCTGTCTCAAACCCCTCCCCTCCCCTCGGCCCTCCCCCATCCCCCCTGCAACGTGCCCCGCGTCCGTCCCCCCTCATACCCTCTTCCCCCTCTCCCCCACAGCTCCCTGCCCTCCCTCGCTGCCCTGCTCTGTCCCCTCTGCTCTTCCCTGTTCTGTCCACTCTGCTCTGTCCTGCTTCCTGCCCCACACCACCGCTCCCCCACTCCGTGCCGGTATGCCCCTCTGTGGTGGCAACTGCGGCAAGCATCCACCGCTGCATGCTGCCTCCATACCGCTCTCGTACCACTTGCATGAGCCGCGCGAATACTGCAGGGGAGAGAAGGATGGGGAATAGATTGAACGAGCAGCACACAGCAGCATGCATCCATACTGCTCTCGCACCAGCTGCATCAGCCGTGAAAAGACTGGGGAGGAGAAGAGAGTGGAGGGGAAAGGAAACCGGAATTGCGAGAATGATTAAGGGATTTCACTGCACCGCACGCTCATACGCTGCACCGCACGCTCGTACGCTGCACCGCACGCTCATAACGCTGCACCGCACGCTCATACGCTGCACCGCTCGCTCATACGCTGCACCACCCGCTCATACACTGCACCGCAAGCTCATACGCTGCACCGCCCGCTCATACGCTGCACCGCACGCTCATACGCTGCACCGCCCGCTCATACGCTGCACCGCACGCTCATACGCTGCACCGCCCGCTCATACGCTGCACCGCCCGCTCATATGTGCTAGTAGCGTCTTAGCACATCCCCACACCCATACAATCTACCGCAGTGTTTGCTCGTACTCCCATGCTCTCTGTAACCCGCACCCTATTCCCATGGCAACACATGTAACACCAGCATCAATGTCAACCCTATTACTCTACCTCCATGCTCTCTGTAACCCGCACCCTGCTTCCCATGACATGACATGGCGACACACGTACCAGCAGCATCGATGTAGACTTGCAGCCGCCTTGTTGACTTATGAGTCGACTCAAAAGTCACTTCGTTACAATGGAACCCGCACCCTGCTCCCTTGGCATGGCAACACACGTACCAGCAGCATCAATGTCGACTTGCAGCCGCCTTGTTCCCCCTGCCGCACCCACATGCACATGCATACCCCCCTGCACTCTATTTAACCCTCCTCTCTGCCCCTGCTGCTGGTGCTGTTGGTCTTGCTGCCTCGCCAAGCCTCCTCTCGTCTTCACCGCCCCTGCTCGTGCTTCCACTGCTCGCGCTCCCCCTGCCTGCTGCGTCCCCTCCGCCTGCGCCAGCTGCTGCAGCTGCTGGCCTAAGGCCAAAGGCAGAAAGCTTTGCACGGCTGCCCTGCTGTGGGCTGCCGCGATATTGGTTGCCCCAACACCAGCTGCCATGCCACTGTGACTGCCGTTGCCATTGCCATTGCCATTGCCATTGCCATTGCATTCCGCCTCTTGCTCCTGCAGTGGCGGTGCCACCAGGATGGCAGGAGCAGTGTGCGGATGGGCCACCTGATGATGTGCATGTGTATGCGCATGGGCATGGGCATGGGTATCGGCACGGGATGGCATGTGCTGTTGAGCGGGATGGAACGGCGGCGCATGGCAGTCACGCACATGCTGCTGCTGCTCCTGATCACCATGCATGCGATGCTGCTCATGCTGCTCATGCTGCTCATGCTGCACATGATGCTGATAGTGCATCTGCTCAAGCTCCTGGCCCTCGTTACAGCCTCCATGGTGCTGCTGCTCTTGCTGCTGTTCTAGTTGCTGATGATGCTCGTGATCCCCACCGTCATACGCAATCCCAAGGTCGCCCTCAGGCCGCCCGTACAGCATAACAGCATACTCCAACACCCCTTCTGCATCTGCCACTCCCCCCATCCCTTCCCCTCCCACCATCGCATCTGGACCGTCCATTCCTTGCACCTCCTCCCCGCCAATCCCAAGGTCCTCTACAGTAATTTCATCATGATCATCACCATACGCATCATCATTATCACAATCATTATCAAGATCATCATCACCATAATTCCCATCACCATCACCAGTGGCAACCGCAGCAGCAGCATCCCTCCCTTCAATCTCATCATCCCTTGCCGCCATCCCATCACCTCCCACTGCTGCCGCCATATCACCATCCCCCACCGCTAAGTCACGCCCCTCCTCCCCCAAGTCACACTCCCCGCCCTCCCGCTCTTCCTCCTCCCCTTCCTCTTCCCTTTCCCCATCCTCCTCTTCGTCTAGAAGCTCCAACCCCCCCACCCTCGCCGCCTCCTCTCTTCCCCCATAGTCACACTCCACCACTCCTCTCGCGTCTCCACCATTCTCCTCTGACTGGCCCACGGTTTCTCTCTCTTCCCCCGGTTTCCCCAGTTCCCCCGCGCCCCTCCCCTCCTCCGCACAACGCTCCGCTCCCCCCCACTCCGAATACCCCGAATCGCGCAGCGCCGCTGCTCCGCCATTCCGTGCGCGCGCGCTATCCCCGGGTCCCCCCCTCGCGCTCTCCGTGCTTCCGCCGCCGCTTCCGCGCGTAAATTGCGGGTCCCGACAAGGGGCCTCGTGCGCCGGGGTTAACGGGGGCGTTCTCCCGTGAAGCGCGGGACTCGCGCCGGGAATTGTGCCGGAAATTCCGCCGGAAATCGCGCTGGAATGCCCGACAACAATTCCATCGAGATTGCCGTGAGCCGCGACCGCATATCCCGCGTGGTGCAAGGGGGAAATGTACGGGTAGTGGGGGAAGGGGAGATGCGCCAAGTGCGCGTGCGGGTGGGGGAAAAGCTCCCCCGCGGGCGCAAAGTGAGGCGGAAAAGGCGCGGGGATGGGGAGCGGGGGGAGATGGGGGAGCTGATAATGGGGGAGGGGAAGATGATGCGCGTGCGGGGGGGGCGACGTGGGGAGCGACTGAAGGAGAGAAGGGGGGTGATGGGGGAAGCTGTTGAGGTGCAGTGGGGGAAAAGCAGCAGAAGGATCTTGAGGAAGCTGCTCCATGGCGAAGTATGGGTGAGAGCTGATTGTAACGCGAGTGACGAGAGTGACGAGAGTCTATCGACGGAAAGCGATCATTACGGCTTGCAGTACACGCACATTACGTCACTGGGTGCACCCGTGACGTCACTGGTTGCAGCCGCGCACATCACTGGGTCACAACGACAGACGAGAATGGTTGGTTTCTGTCATCACTGGGTATAGAGGCTGACGACAGAAAGAATGGCTGCGACGAGTCGACAGGCGAGAAGCGGAATTGTCGCAATGGTGGTGACGAGACAAACGACTGGGAGCTGAGGAACTGGCGACGAGAAATCTAACGCAAGTCGGTAACACTACCGGGACTGCCGGCATGCGACTAGGACTACCAGTATGCGACCACAATCGCCAGTACGCGACCCGGACCGCAAGCATGCGACTAGTAATGGCAGAAAAGGATACTCTCTATGGATGAAATTTGTCAACAGACGCGCGGGTCTGGGAGGACCAGGTTCGTGAACCATCGTTATAGAGCTGGAACCGCAAAGCATAAAAAAAACCGAGACACACATATTAATATTTATGGATACAATAACTAAAAATCTGTTGCACAAAAGTAGTTTCTAAAGGTGACAAAGTTTGCCACAAGTGCAGTTCATCTCGGTACAACTTACACAAATCTCTCTCGCACCACACCCCTATCTCCCTAAGCTTGTGAACATTCAGCCTATCCTTCCCATGCATACTTCGAAGCAGATTGCCTTGCCTGGGCCTCACCACCCTGCCGTTGCAACGTATCCAAGCCAAACCTCTCATCCCTCAATCCCAGGACCTATCCAAGCCAAACCGTACCTCTTCTCCGTTGCAACCTCACGTTGGCCCATGGGCTTACTCGCACGCTCACCATCATCACCATGCATACCGTAGTATGAAATCACACCCACCGTCAACGACTCAACGCGTTGTACCTGTGGGGTGTCCTATGATGCTATCCTACCTAGTGGGTGTAGTGGGGGTCCTTGGTGGAGTGGGTACGCCTAGCTCTCCCCCCGCCCCTCCCCCTCCTCTTCCCCCCGCCACACCATTCCCCTCGTCCCCAACTGGCAGGGTCATCAGCTGCTGCAGAGTCTTGATTAGATTCTCCATCTGCGGCCGCCCAGCCGGATCCTCGTTGATACAGTGCTTGGCGAGAACGAGCAGTTTCTGCGCGCCCACGCGGGAATATTTGTCTTCTAGCCGTTCGTCCATGACTGCCTCGAGATTCGGGCGGCGCTGTGCCACGTGTGCGCGCACCCACGTCGTCAGCTTGCAGTCGTCGTTGTCGCCTCCAGACGAGGGAGGCCGGCCGGTGAGGAGCTCGAAGTAAACTACTCCGAGTGCGTAGATGTCACTCTTTGGTGTGAGATGACCTGGTGGGGGGCAACAAGTGGGGGGGAATGGGGGGGGCGGTGGGAGGGCACGGGGAGGGGGGCGGCCAATGAGGAATTAGAAGTAGATGACTCCGAGAGCATAGATGTCACTCTTTGAGGTGAGATGGCCTGGTGGGGGTAAGGGGGATTCGGGAGGGAGGGGGGTTTTGGGGAGGGGGTGTGTGTAGGCAGAAGGCAAGCTGCTGAGAAGCTCAAAGTAGACCACTCTGAGAGCGTAGATGTCGCTCTTTGGGGCGAGATGGCCTGGTGGGGGCAAGGAAGGGGAGGGAAGGAGGGGGGGTGTGGGAGGGGTGGGTGTATGGGGAAAGCAGCGTGGTGAGGAGTTCAAAGTAGACCACTCCGAGTCCGCAAAAGTCACTCTTTGGGGTGAGATGGCCTGGTGGAGGCAAGTTAAAAAGGGAAGGAGGGGGGGTTGTTGGTGGGAGGGGGGGTGTGTGGGCAAAGCAGAGCTGGTGAGAAGCTCGAGTAAACGACTTTGAGAGAGTAGGTGTCACTCTTCGGGGTGAGATGGCCGGACAGGGGAAAGGAGGGGAGGAAGGCGTGTGAAGGGGGGCAATGAAAGGAGTGACATGTGGAGGGCAAAGGCAAAGAAGCAACTCGGGTCTGATTCAAAGCCTGCCACAGGAAGGAAAGGGTGCTATGGGGACCGGATGCAATAGACCCAGCATACCTGATTCGAGGTAATTGAGGGCAACAATTGAAATTCACCCATTCTACCTGTCTCAAGGTACTTGGGTCCGAGGTACCCCATGGTGCCCATGACTCGCATGGAGATGTGTGTCTGCCCCGACTCTGGCCCCATGGTGCTCACATTGCTTATCAACGCGCCTCATAGTGCTTATCGGATGTAGAATACTGAGCGTACCTGTCTCAAGGTACTTGGGGTCGAGGTACCCCATGGTGCCCATGACTCGCGTGGAGATGTGAGTCTGCCCTGACTCTGGCCCCATGGTGGCCATGCCAAAGTCCGTCAGCTTCGCCCGCATCTCCTGCCATGGGGTGGCACATGGAGGGGAGCATGGTCGCACAAAGTCAGTTCTTGCTAAGCGTTTGATCCAAACCCACGGCCACACAGCAGCAAAAGGACCCCCGGTGGGAAGCTGCATGTCCTGCTTTGACCTCATGTCCTGCCGTGGAGGGCAGAGTGGCGGGAGGAGGAAAGTGGGGGGCAGCAAGTGTGAGCAGTTGAGTTAGGAGGCGTTAAGAAAGACCTGTTGAAAGATGGATTACTGCATTTCATCCTATACCCATGCCATGGCAGGACACATCCTATACGTCTTACGCGTACAGGCAATGCATATTCCATGACAGCACAGCAAATTATACCGCATCGCACCACATCCCATCACATCCCACCGCAGCACACCTTATCGAGCAGCACGTTGCAGGACTTGAAGTCGCGGTGAATGACGTTCTCCGAGTGCAGATACGCCAGGCCCTGTGTGGCGTCCAGCTCTATCCGCACCCCACAGCATCCCACCGCATCCCACCGCCTCCCACCGCATCCCACCGCTTCCCACCGCACCCCACCGCACCCCACCGCACTGCACCTTATCGAGCAGCACGTTGCAGGACTTGAAGTCGCGGTGAATCACGTTCTCTGAGTGCAGATACGCCAGGCCCTGTGTGGCGTCCAGTGCTATCCGCACGCGCTCCTCCCACGTAAGCGGGCGGTGCTTGTACACTCCTGTGTGGTCGTCTGGAGGTCATTGTAAAAGGAGGGGGAAGGAGGAGGCAGAGGAGAAGAGAGAACGGTAGGGCACACGTGAGAGGGTGGTGCTTGTACTCGCCCGTGTGGTCGAGTGGAGGTCGTTAGAGGGCGGATGTGGGAGGGGGACAGAGAAGGGAGATGGAAGCAGTGAGGCAAACCAAAGGGGCTATTCTTAGGTAAGCGCACGGTGCTTGTACACGGCCGCCCGAACACCTGCTGCTTGTTTGAAGGGGGATGGAACGAGGATGGAAAGCAGGGATAAGGTTACAGAAGGCGTAAGGCCTCTGCGACACAAGTAAGACACGGGGAGATGAGAAGAGACGAGAGGAGCGAGGCCTTTTTCCTCCCCGTATCGAGGAGAGGAAAAAGAGGCCAGGAGGGGAGGTGAGGAAAGCGGAGGAGAGGAGCAGAGCAGCAGCACCTGGGAGGAGCTAGGAGTGGGGGTTGGGGGTACCTGGGAAGAGCCAGGAGTCGAGGCTGCCGTTCTCGAGCAGCTCATACACCAGCACTGCCTCGTCCCTGTCCGTGCTGTACCCCAGCAGCCGCACCAGGTTCGGGTGCTGCAGGCGACCTAATAGCAGCACCTCCGCCTGGGAGCACACAGGAGGCAACGAGGGCAAGAGAGCGGGAGAGCGGGAGATTGAGGGGCATGGAGGCTCGTCCCTGTCCGTGCTGTACCCCAGCCGCCGCACCTCCGCCTGCAGAGATGAGTATGTGGGAGACAGAAGGAGAGAGAGGGACTAAGCCACACTAGATCACTGACCAACCTCCCCTCCTCCCACACAATTGCTATTTCCCTCCCCAACTTTCCCCCTTCCCCCCTCTCACCATCCACTCGCCGAAGCCCTGAAAGCTCTCTTCATCCAGCATCTTGATTGCGAGCGGCCGCTTCTCACCCTTGAGCAGTTCGCCCATCCACTCCTCCATGGCCCCGCGGTACACCTTGCCTCTCAATGCTTCAACGCCCCTCGTATTCATCATCCTCCCCTCCTTCCACTCACAATGCCCCCCTTCCCTCACTCACTATCCTCCCTCCTTCCCCCCCATCCCCCCTCTTCCCCTTCCCTTTCCCCCCCTCACCATCCACTCGCCGAAGCCCTGAAAGCTCTCTTCATCCAGCATCTTAATCACCCACTCACCATTTCCCTCCCTCCCCCCTCCCTACCCCCATAACCCTCCACCACTCACCATCCACTCGCCGAAGCCCTGAAAGCTCTCTTCATCCAGCATCTTGATGGCGAGCGGCCGCTTCTCCCCCTTGGGCAGTTCCCCCATCCACTCCTCCATGGCCCCGCGGTACACCTTGCCGAAGCTGCCCGCGCCCAGCACGCTCTCGTCGCGGAACCGGTTGGTGGCGGCCTGCAGCTCTTTGTACGTGAAGCGCCGCAGGTTGGACGCTAAAATGGATTGTTCTCCGCCGGTCCCATCCGTGGATTCTGGGAGGGCGGAAAGGGGGAAAAGCGGGAAGGAGGAGGGGGGAGGGGGGAGAAGGGGGGAGGATGCAGGGGGGGAGGGGAGGGGAGGATGGAGGAAGCGGTTGGCGGCGGCCTGTAGATCTTTGTATGTGAAGCGAAGGAGGTTGGACGCTAGAATGGACAGCTCGCCGCCGGTTCCGTCCGTGGATTCTGGGAGGGGAGGAGAGGGGAGGAGCGGGGAGCAGAATGCAGCAGGAAGAGGAGAGGGAATGCAGGAAGCGGTTGGCGGCGGCCTGCAGCTCCTTGGTCGCGAATCGACGCAGGTTGGACGCCAGAATCGACTGTCGCCGCCGCTCGCGTCCGTTGATTGCTCTGGATGTGTGGAAAGGGGAGATGGGGGGAAGAGAAGGGGGGGACGAGATGCAAGAGGAGGGGAGGAGTCGCGGAAGCGCCACGCCGTAGTGTCTTCGCGCGTGCCTGAAATAGATGGTGCATTTCACATCTGATAGCCAGTTAATTAAACAATGCCTTTTTTTAGTGCATACAATGCGTGATTTCTTGATGTGAAAGGTTATCTGACATGCGTAGCTAACGGTACGCTTCTCGTTATAAGCACGGCATCCATGACTTAGAGTGTTATCCGACTAGCGTACCTCACATCACATCCATGACATTCATGACGTGCGACTCGCATACCTGACATCCATGGCTGACTGCTCTTGCTGCTCTTGCTGGTGCTGTTCTTGGTGATTTTGATCGATTGCTCCTCTATACTCAGGCAGCACCCCATGCCGCTTCTTCTCCCTCCTAACGAAAACGATCCTAAGTTGCTAAGTGACCGGCGATAACGCTTCTACGAATTAAGCTGTATCCATGTCGCATGGACCGGCGAAAATGCCGTACACGATCGGAGCTTATTCTTAAATAATTCTACTATACTAGATAGGTATTTGGGATGTCCAGCCGAGAATGGAACGCGCAAAGGAGATAAAATATGTCGAAGACGCGAAACAGCTCAAACCTATGACCTAACTTGGCGGAAAACTTTATCTGTACCTAGTACTACCGCCAGCTTGCACAGGATCATCTCAGGCGAAAAATACTACCCAACGCAAAATCTGCTTCCTACCTACCGAACCAAAGAAATAGTCGTGCCTGACTGATCAATGCAAGCTCGAATGCTACACCAGCGGGAACTAGACACTCGGCATGGATTATCCGTCGAAATGTCCCTAATTAGCTGGCCTCGCGAACGGAGTCAGATATACGCCATTGCTCCGACGCGCAAGAGGCTCGCATGCGTGCTTTTGTCGAGGGGAGGGAGAGAAACAGGTGCGCTTGGCGTGGTGTGGAAAGGCGAGGCTACAAGACAACACGTATGTGCAGTTCGCACAGAGTAACCCAGCACAGAACACGGACGGACACGGCATCTATGCGTTGCAGACAAGAACAGTGAAGGCCAGAAAACGTCATGGCTGAATGGCACAGACTGTCAGCAAGACTGCCGCTTCTGTGACTGCCTCCCACACTGCTGCTTCGTACGGCGACATGCTGGGCAACTGTACCGCTTTTACCAGGTTATCTAATATATGTCGCAATTACATGGTACCATTGGTTTCCAGCAGAAACATTATTTCAGAAACAAACCAGGTCAACCATCTAAATCACAGATTGAGTACAACCACAAACGCTCAATTAGACAGCTTTCAACTTCTTGTCATTGCGCCTGCGCTTTCTGCACTCCCTCTCATCCTCCCCATACTCTTTCTTCTTCATTGCTCCCCACAGCCCATCCACCACCCCCTTGGCTGCCTCCCTCGCCACTGCTGCCACATCCCCAGACACAGACCCTTGTAACGAAGCCAATAGATCTTTGCCACCTGGCACTTCCCCATCAGCCAGCACTTTATACTTCACATCCGCTGAAGCCCCTTCCGCTACACCCCCTGATGCTCCAGTGGCATCAGCAGCAGCATTTTCAGCAGTCTGATCAGCAGCATGGGCAGCAGCAGGGCCCACACTCAGGACTAGAACACGAGCAACAGCAGCGAGCGCTATCCGGGCGGCAGTGGCAGCAGCTGCCGCCTCAGCTTCTGGGGTCATGACACTGTCCTCGCTGGGAAGTGATTCTGCAGCTCCAGCTACAGTCCAAATCTTGCCGTTCGGAGCGAAGGAAAGACTGGTGGCTGGCACTCCATCGTTGAGAGTGATGCACTGCAACACAGAAGTGCAGAGCAGAGCAGAGGAGCAGGGTGTGTGAGATCAGGTAGTGTGCGACAGCAGGATGTGGAACCTCTGTCACGAACCAGATTAGCAAGAGAATCAGCACTGACTGCACACAACCAGGGCATGGATGCATGAGAATGTGGATCGTGAAGTGAGAATCAGAGCGGGAAGAACGCACAGCCCAACAGCATCACAGCAGAGGGAACACGCCAGCACACTCACTCCCCTCCAGACACACATCCACCTTAATGAAAAGGCAACGGGAGGAGGAGAACGAGGGAACCAACGTACCCGACTAGCCATGAGCAAATGGACGGCAAGCCGCGTCTGCTTCTATCTGCACGAGCCTCCCTCTGGACATCGGCGACATGCCCGGAGCCCCTCTTGCGAGGGACCAACCGGACCTGCGCCGAGCCTGCGAGGGTTTTATTTGGCGCAGTTATGACTCGAAATCCTTCCATGGGTGCGCCTGGCTCTGCCCCCGAGGGGGCGAGACGCAGGCAGCACGGATAGGCGCTCTCAAGGACTGCGCGTGAGGCGGACTGATGTGCCGAGGCTCAGCAACTTGTTTACACAGATAGACAGACAGACAGACGGACGGACAGACGGACATGGATGCAGAAGGACTACATGACAGAGGAAAAACAACACCAAGGGAACTTGAGGATGAAACACACCTGAAGCATTTGCAGTGTGCGAGCCGAAGGGTCAAAGCGGAGCAAAGACACGCATGGCGAGCTGAAGAGAAAAAAGAAGAGCAGAGAACGGGGAAGGAACCGGGGGGGAGGGGGAAGTGATGTTAGTGGAGAGCATGCGACAATAAGGAACAGACGACAATGTGACAATCAGCATCGCCCAAATGTCCTGCTTATGAACTCTGAACACACACGATGCTGGCAGGCTCGCATAGCGAAGCACCTACCTGGCAACAGCTCCAGCGATCAAACAGCCACTCGGATCGACCGCGACAGCTACCAGCGACGAACCATCCGCTGTTGATCCTATCTTCCCACCCCTGCTCCCCCCCGCATCTTCTTCAGGATTAGCTACGCCCTCCGTCTCCGCCGTGCCTCCTGCCTCCGCTTCCGCTTGTTCTCCGCCACCCGCGGAGTCCACTGCCATGGGGGAAGGCCCTTCCGCCTGCGCAGGCGATGGCGGAGGCGGCATGCGCAGCACCTGGAGGCAGCGGCCGTCTGAAGGGCCCCACAGACGCACCTGCAACATCGGTGGGACGAGAACGACACGTTGAAAAAGCCACGTTAATAAAATCAGGGTTCGAAAGTCGAAGAGGCAGGAATCACACGTCGAGAAAGCCGAAGATCGGCAACATCAAAGGCGAAAGCGGGGGGACGGGAAAGGCGAAAATACGCACTCACCGTTGCGTCAGCCGCGGCGGACAGAAGCAGCTGCTGCGAACCATCCCCGGCCGCAACGACGCCGTCGGTCTTGCCGTGCTTGGCTGGTGTCGGCTCGCCAACAAAGGCTAGAGCTGTCAGGAACCTGGCGAGTGGAAGGGTGAAAGCAATAAGACACGGACATGGGATTAGATAAGGGAACGAGCGGGTGATAGCAGCGTACCAATGGAGAGTCTGGGAGAATACAGAGAAGACAATGCGAAAATACAAATGTAAATGAACAATGCTTCGGGTAGAAACACAAATGCCATGGCACCGTACCCTGTATGTCCAAGGCAGAAGCTCTGAATCTCATGAGCGCCTTCCAAAGGATGGTCGGGGAACACGGACACCTGCTCAAGAGAAACAGTGGTAAGTCCGATAGTTATGCTGGGAGATTGAAATAGAAACAGAGAATTAGGATGTAACCTGGTATCATGGCCTGAGAATGCAAGTTGTAAAAAAACTGCAGGGAGATCTACCAGAAACGAAGCAGGTAACAGCAGGTAAAAATTAAGACTGGAATCTACTGCACTGAAGCAACCCATGCAAGCCCTGGACCAGCAGAAGGTACCACAACGTACCTACACGAATCTTTCCGTCCCGATCGCCAGTAGCAATGAAGCGATTGCCGTGCGACATCGCCTGCAACAGTAAGTCGGAAGCAAAAGAGACAAGCACAGGATACATGTCTTAAGAAACCTTCTGATTCCAACGGAAATTCGCAGGAATAACGGAACTGAGGAGTCTAGCAGGTGCATGAATTACGCATGGAGAGACATGTTAGGATACTAAGCCCGAAAATTTATAAACGTACGAGGCAGGTGATGATGCTGCAGCAGTGGCCCAGCAGCTGCTTCGCTGTCTCCACCGCTCGCTTGCCTTCGCCTCCTTCTCCGTTCTGAGCAGCGAGGTCGGTCGGCGACGGCACGGCGAGAGCGTGAACGACGCCGAACTTGTCGGCGAAGAGCAGCCAGCGACCGTCGCTGCTGAACCCCATGGCGCTCACTCGCTTGGACACCTTCCTGAACAAAGAAATGCGAAATCAAGCAGCACAAAACAACCACAAAAAAGGATGATTAGAACTTATCGTCTCCCTATGAAGAACAATGCATCATCCGAAAAAAACGAAAATTGAGAATGTCAGTACAGAAGTAATCCAAATCTGACTTCTAAAACATCTTCACTTACTCCTTATGGCAGCAAGTCCAGCTGTTTGACGGCGACTGCACCTCCCTGACCCAGAGATTGACGATCTTATCGTCGCCCGCCGTCGCCATGACACGGCCGGTGGGGTCCACGCACATGGCTCGCACGGCGTCGCCATGTGACACTGCCTGCTCCGCACCGTCGCTGCTCTTGAACGAAACCGCCGAACCCGAACTGCATAAACGAAAATGTGAAAGCTTAAGAATTTAGAAACCTTAGGGCCACTCCGAATCTGTCAGCACAATACCATGGCCTCGAGGCTATCAGGCCCTAACGATCTGGCGCTATAACTTGACATAATTTACCTAATATCGAAGCCTCGGACAGCGGCACCCGCGGTGGCAAAGACAGGCGAGCCTGACGGGTGAAGCGCGAGGAGAGACGGAGCCAGCGAGCCTGTCTTCTTGCCTCCACTCCCTCCATAGTCGTCAACACCCGCTTCTTCAACACCCGCTTCCTCGTTCACCTCGCATGGGTCACATCCGGTACCCATCTTAACTAGCCCCTCCACTTCACCTGTTGGCCGCTCGGCCTCCATTACATAGGATGGTGGTCTCTCGGACCTGGTCTGACTACCCTCTCGAAGACCTCTTTTCCTTGTAGGCTTACGGTTGGTGTCTCGAGATTTGGTGGTCTTGGGCTGGGGGGGTGAGAGGGTGGTTGCCTCGCATTATTCTGAATAAGCAGCCCATCAGTGTACGAAATGCTAGACGTCATTACCTGAAGTACTTTCAGATCTTGCCACATGAATGCAATACCAAGCATAAGCAGCCATTGTGCCATTTATAGCAGTGGAGATGGCACCCACAAGTACTTCTTGAAGTACGTACCCGAGTACTCTTCATGAAAATGACGCCGATGACCGATGATGCTCGCAATCCTCCCACGCCCTTGCTGGCTTTGAAATAGGCCCATACAAGTGCAGCCACGTGACCCGGCGGAAAAAAAACGCTTGGAACAAGCGCTTCAAGGCCCAAAACGCGGAACGATCCACACATCTGCAGGAAATGCAGTGGACGCTCTTTATTTGCGAGCGCCGATGACCGATAATGCTCGCAACTCACCCACGCCCTTACTAGCTTGGTAATAGGCCCAGACAAGCGCAACCACGTGACCCGGCGGAAGAAAAACGCTCGGAACGAGCACTTCCAGCCCCAAAACGCGGAAGGATCCGCACATGTGCAGGAAGTGCAGCGGGCGCTCTTCATTCGCGAGCGCCGATGACCAATGATGCTCGCAACCCGCCCACGCCCTTGCTGGCTTGGCAATAGGCACAGACAAGCGCAGCAACGTGACCCGGCGGAACGAACGCTTCCAGCCCCAAAACGCGAAAGGATCCGCACATATGCACGAAGTGAAGCGGGCGCTCTTCATTCGCGAGTGCCGATGACCAATGATGCCTGCAACCCTCCCACACCCTTGCTGGCTTGGCAATAGACCCAGACAAGCGCATCCACGTAACTCGGCAGAAGAAAAACGCTCAGAACGAGCGCTTCTAGCCCCACAACGCAGAAGGAAGCGAACATGTGCAGGTTGTACAACGGGCGCTCTTCGTTCGCGAGCACCGGTGATCGATGATGCTTGCAACCCTCCCACGCCCTTGCTGGCTTAGCAATAGGCCTAGACAAGCGCAGCCATGTGACCCGGTGGAAGAAAAATGCTCAGAACGAGCGCTTCCAGCCCCAAAACGCGGAAGGATCCGCGCATGTGCAGGAAGTGCAGCGGGCGCTCTTCATTCGCGAGCGTCGATGACCAATAATGCTTGCAACCCTCCCACGCCCTTGCTGGCTTGGCAATAGGCCCAGACATGCGCCATGTGACCTGGCAGGAGAAAAACGCTCGGAACGAGTGCTTTTAGCCTCAAAACGCGGAAGGATCCGCACATGTGTAGGAACTGCAGCGGGTGCTCTTCATTCGCGAGCGCCGATGAACAATGATGCTCGCAACCCTTCCACGCGGAACAAGGGCCTAGCGTGCGCCAAATTGCAAGAACAAGGGCCTAGCGTGCGTAAAATTGCAAGAACAAGGGCCTAGCATGTGCAAATAGCAAGAACATGGGTGTAGCGTGTGCAAAATTGCAAGAACAAGGGCCTAGCGAGTGCAAAATTGCAAAAACAAGGGCCTAGCGAGTGCAAAATTGAAAGAACAAGGGGCTAGCGAGTGCATAATTGCAAGAACAAGGGCCTAGCGTGTGAAAAATTGCAAGAACAAGGGCCTAGCGTGTGCAAAATTGCAAGAACAAGGGCCTAGCCTGTGCAAAATAACAAGAACAAGGGCCTAGTGTGTGCAAAATCGCAAGAGCAAGGGTCTAGCGAGTGCAAAATTGCAAGAACAAGGGCCTAGCGTGTGCAAAATTGTACACTCACACAAATGTAAACTCTCATGCACACAATCACACATGCACTCATGACACTGCTGCCCACACTAGTGCAATGCCATGCCACACATCTTAGCACACTTCCAATGTGCGCTCTCGGGAAGTCTCTTGGTGAGAAAATCTGCCGCCTGTTTGCTAGCCTTCACACGGTGAAGCTCAACAGCTCCTTCCTTCACCATCTGCCTCACCTACTGCCACTTAATCTTCATGTGCTTGTTTAGCCCATTCAGGATAGGATTATTGGCCATGTCAACAGCAGCCTCACTGTCGGAGAAAAGTGGTGTAGGTCCCTCCTGTTCAGCTCCGATGTCCTCCAGCACCTTCCTCAGGAGCACGATCTCCTTAATGGCATGGTACACCGCCATGTACTATGCCTCTCCGGAAGACTGAGCAATCTCACTCTGCTTCTTGGACCTCCAGCTCACTGGTCCACCTTCGACCATGCACACAAAGCCGCCAACTGATGACTGATCCTCCTCCTCTGAAGCCCACGTAGCGTCGGTGAAGCACGACAGCTTCAAGGTTCCAAGCGTGACCCCATCTGCTCGAATCTGTTTCAGCTGGCCGCTAGCTGAAAGCTGAACACCAAGCGCTTTGCCACCTCTAACTGCTCCTCAGTGGGCCCTGCACAACTCTGGCCAGCTGCCCCACTCTGAACGAAGCATCAGGTCGCGTATGCACTGCAGCATACATCACACTCCCAATGAGTGACTGGTACTCGTTCTACTGCTCATCCTCGAGTACATAATCCTCCTCAGCTGCCTTCTTCAGTTTGAAGCCCGCAGGGAACGGTGTCATCACAGTGCGACCCCCAGTCACACCATATCACTCCATGACACTAGAGATGTAGTGTTACTGATGCACCTTCAGCCACCTCCTCTCAACATCCCTCTCAATCTGCAGCCCCAAGCAGTAGTGGACATCCCCCAGCATCTTGCACTTGAAGTTGTCCATCAGCAGCTTCTGTGTCCTCTCAATCTGCTCAATGGAAGGCGAGAACAGCAGTATGTCATCCACATACACCAGCAGCAAGAGCAGCTGCTCCCCCTCTCCAAGCAGAAACAAGCTGTGATCCGCCTGGGACGTCTTGAAGCCTCCACCCAACAGCACCTCCTCCAGCTTCTCGTACCAGCACTTGGGCACTTGCTTAAGGCCATAGATGGCCTTCTTAAGCTTGCACACCCAGCTGGTCCCATCCTCATAGCCGTCAGGCTGCGCCATGTATGTATCCTCCAGCAGCACTCCATTGAGGAACGCAGTGGTGATATCAATCTGCTTCACGTGCCATCCCTTCACAGCTGCGCCAGCCATCAAAGTCCTCAGTGTCACTGGCTTAGCAACGGGAGCGAAGATCTCCCCAAATTCGACCTTCTCTTTCTGCTGAAACCCCTTGGCGACCAAACGGCTCTTGAACCGCTTCAACGCACCATCAGCACCACTCTTCACCTTGAAGACCCACTTGCTGCTGATTGGCCGTCGCCCCTCGGGTAACTCAACAAGGTCCCAAGTCCCATTCTCAATAAGACTGTTGAACTCCGCATCCATGGTAGCCTTCCACTCCTCCTTCTGGGGTCCACTCAGTGCCTCCTCCACTGTGGGTGGTTCTCCAGGCAAGGGTGTGAAGAAAAAGAAGGCCATCTCCTCATCCTCTCCCTCATCCGCCTGAACCGCCATGGCACCTTGCTTGGGTCCTCCCAAACGGGTATACTTCAGCCTTGAGGGTGCTGCTGCCACTCTCTTCTCGCGGGTTGCAATCTGCTGTCCATGTGGTGAAGCTCCTCTCTGCACACTGTCACAATAGTAAGCAGAACGAGGAGCCATAGCTAGGGTTTACCTAGCTAAGCAAGAGAGAATTTGGCAAAGGAGGAGGTTCACTAGCAAGCAGGTGGATACATATAAGAAACCCTAAGGGGTCATACTCACTACAGAGTACCGCACTGCAGGCTAGACAAACTGCACATTCTGACACACCCCCATAGTCAAAGTGGGGTATAATCAGCAGAGCAAGTAGTCATAGAGCAGGTTCACAAGTGCAAGCAAAGCTAGAGGCATTCACAACAGGCACGTGAGGAGGAGGAGGCTGGACTGTGAGAGGAGAGGAGATAGGAGGCGACGGCTGAAGCTGCAGACACACGGGCAACAGGAGTGGCTGGCACAGTGGCTACCGGGACAGCGCCCCGGACTACTAGAGTAACTGGCTTTGCGGCTAACTCTGAGCGGCAAGAGCAACGGACCCACGGGCGACAAGTACAGCAGGCTCTCTGGGCTACCAGAATAGCGCCCCGGACTACAGGTGCTGCGGACGACAAGACGACAACCTCCGCTCAACCTCCCCCAACTGTCCCACCCCCTTTTTCACACACCCCTTGCTGCACCCCTAGCTCCACTCCCACGTCACCCCCTTAGCACCACTCCCTCGGCTCCCACACACCCACCCCCCTCAGCAGCAGCTGCAGCAGTGGGAGACGGAGGAGGAGGAGGAGCAGGGGACGGCTCACACACCCGCCACCCCCATACACGTCACCCCCATACTCTGAGTGTGCGGTAAGCGAGCTCAGGTGTGCGCGAAGCATGCACAAGCGTGCGGTAAGCAAACTCAGGTGTGCGTGGAGGGGGGGGGGGGGCGCAGGGCGACGTGCGGGTCGACGGGGACGGGCGCACGGGTCCCCGGGGGCGGCGCGCGGGTCGACGGGGCCGCCGCGAAGGGGGAGGGGGAGCCGCGCGTGGGTCGACAGGGCCGCCGTGAAGGGGGGCCGGGAAGCTGCGTGCGGGTCGACAGGGCCGCCGCGAAGGGCGACGGGGAGCCGCGCGCGGGTTGACGAGGCCGCCGCGAAGGGCAACGGGGACCCGCGCGGAGGTCAACGGGGACGGGCGCGCGGGTCGACGGATTGCAAAACCGCCGCGCGCGCCCAGGGTGCGCGGCGGGCAGGAAAACGCCACGCATCCCAAGCGCATGGCGGGCAGAAAACCGCCACGCGCCCCGAGCGCGTGGCGGGAAGAAAAAATGTACATCGCATGCCACGGGGCGGGCGACAGACAGTAAGGCAGCGGAAGCAGGCGGGCCCACAGGCCAGGAGCGACACTACTTTGATAGCATGTCACAATAGTAAGCAGAACGAGGAGCCATAGCTAGGGTTTACCCAGCCAGGCAATAGAGAATT